AATTGATCTTCAGTAACCCAGGCTTGTCGAAAGAGGCGACTAACGGGATCGTCGGTCAGGTTCGCAGACTTGGCGCCATCGTATCCCAGTTGCGTAGATGAATGCCCATGCTGTTTATCACTGGATTGTCTGATCAAGACCCACATGGGTACAATGTGTGAAGCCCATTTCTGGTATCCCCCGCCGTGATGTTGCTGGAATATTGCTAAAAGCGGCGTAAAACCAAACTCAGTCAGTCAGCAGTCTGATCAAGACTTGATTATTTACAGACCACCGCCCTATAAGTGGAATATTGCTGAGTGTGACGTCGAACAAACAAACAAACATCATTAATCCTAAGTCAACAGGATCTGTGGTTCCTGAGAAGAGATTTCTTAAAGAAACTGGTTTCTGCAGTTTTGTTATATTTTGTTTGAAATTCTGCTTGTATCTACAAACCAGATTGTCATTTTGTTGATATCCGTCGTATCAATGTTACACATTTGAAGACCTCGGTAGAACAAAATCATAACCCACACTACTGTCATTTTGAGAAAAACGCATTTGATTTTTTTTAGGGTTCTGAGGACTTCTGAAATAGGTGTTTGGGAAACAACATGATAACCCACAAAAGACATAAAAAATCAGAAATGCTGACATCATGTTCTGTATCATCCTCGATAATCTCCAGGGTATACGTTACGATAACTCTCCACTATACCCTGGACGCATCTATGGCTTGGCCAGATGATTTTATTACCTCCCTTGGCTGGCTCCGCATTCTCACAGTAGCCAATCAGCTAAGCCGCCGTTACAACCGAACTTGCCAGTGTCAACAAAGATAGCTAGGTTCTGGGTATCAACACCCCCTACTATATAATACATATAATACGCAGCTGCGAAGGTTTATCGATTTGACCCGCAGTAACCTGTGGTCGCACAGTACAGTGCGACTCAGATTTTGGGGGAATCATACAGACAAATTTACAGGTCTGAAACTTTAAAAAAATATATGCAACAACTCCTTCAACCTCTTTCAGAGTACCTCTGCATCAATTGTGTTGCCAAGTTTAATCGGTTAGATAATTTAAGAAGCGAAAGTGAGTTGTGTTTGGTCCGCTCAACTTCTCAGCGTAGACACCTGATTGGATAAGAAGCCAGCCAAGGGAGGTAATAAAATTATCCGGAACTGTAGATGCATCCAGGGTATAGTGGAGAGTTATCGTAAGGTATACCCTGGAGATTATCGAGGATGGTTCTGTATCAGATTCTACAAATGTTGGCTCTGCAATGCTGTCATCCTCCTCTGTGTTTGACCACATTTGATCTAAAACTTCCTGATCCGTGAACATGTGCGCTGCCATGTTTTTGTGGGTTATAACTTTCTTTCTGAAGTTGGTCTCTGGGAATATGGATTGTGATATGTAGGGATATGATGCAATGGACAAACTGGTAGAGATAGGGGAGGTAACAAGATTTCAGATGATTCCCCATGGTCTGGCAATCCACTAAAAATAGATATCTCAGAAAATCACAAAATGTGGGTTATGATTATGTTACCCTCCGATGTCATTTCTAAAATAGTTTTAACTGCAATATTCATAAGGTTCTTGTTGAACTCATGTGAACTGCCCCAACACAATCATATATATATACCCAACACAAGTATAAATACATGTATATACCCCCAATCCAGTCATAGATATATATATATATACCACTCACTCTCACTCTTCTACTATCAGTCTTGTCATAGGGGTTGTGTTTGCTATTTATATATGTATGGTTATGTTTGTATATTTTTTATATATGTGGTTGCGCTTGTTATTTTTTATATATGTGGCTGCGCTTGGTTTTTTTATATATGTGGTTGTGTTTGCTATTTCTATTGGGAATGCTCGATAGTACAACCAGCCGTTTTCTACCACCTTATACAAATGTAGCTCAACCTCCCTTCTTCGCTCATAAATGTTTCACAAGTACACTTATCATCATCGCACTAGGAAAAACAGCATGGTTCCTGTTGGCATAAGAAATAAGCATGAACTAATTTTATTAACAAGCATTCCGTTACCCGCGACTGAAAAGTTAAGATGGTAGGGAAATGTTTGTTTTGAATGGCGCGCACATACATCAATACATATAATCATTTATAAGTAAACAAAGTGGAACCCATTACATCTTCTTTGATGGTATAGACCCTTTTGTCTCTTTCGACGTCAGAATGTTGGAAAAATTGAAAAGATAAAAGCTTGTTTCAACAATGGTCATATCTGATACCCTGTATCGTATTATTACTATCTATTAATCGACAAATCAACAGTTAAGACAACATGCAAGTTTATGGATCACACAGTGTTTATTGCATCGTATTATTAATTACCATAGTTTAATCGACAAACACACGCAAGTTCAAGGATAGCACCGTGTTTTTATCGCATTACCAATTACATACATTATGTTTTAGTCGACAAATCACTAGTTAGGAACACACACAAGTTTAATTATAGCACGGTGTTAAATAGAGGATACTAAACGACTTTCCGTGTAATACCATTTTTATTAAACGAGTTAATGATTACTAAATCTTTCACGAGTTTAATATAAATGGTATTTCACGGAAGCGAGTTTAGTATTCTGTTTATTACTCTCCAACATAAACTGATAGAAACTGCCTTCTTACAGTGTGATGACTCTCAGCTTTCCGCGAGTCAAGCAAGGTCTAATACCATTGTGACAGAGGTATTAGCATTGTGACGTCATAACTATGAACCATTATGACGTCATACGTCTAGCGGTATTACACTAGTGTAATATTGCCGTAATAATATCACACTGCAGCACGAGCGAGTCTAAAATGACTGAATTCCACGGGAGAGCCACACTCCGGCGCAGTGATGACTTAGCATAACATCACTGCCACAGACTAATTTGCATATCACGTGACCGGACTTTTCTCTTGTTTGTAAACAAACGTACGTATTCATAATAAGAAGAGACTTGCCCTACGCAAGCTTTTCGGCGCGCTCTTCACAATGTTTGACATTGTTACATATATATTCTTCCACAACTGCGACAGTAAGGTTTATGACAGTACATATTTTAGATATCTGGCTGCATCGTTTGCTCTCCGTCGGCGTCGATGACCGCACGTGGAGCCGTTCAACTTATGTATACAAAGGATCGCTACGCAAATCGAAATAGTGTTACATGTTTTAGGATATTTTCTCAGTGAAACTAAACCATTCTATCACAGATGTTTAATTAGATGTGTAGACTCGTCAAAAATAAAAGAGTTAAGAAAAAAATGTACATTACATGTATATTGAATTGACGGTGCAATATGTGACGAATCGTCACATCTTTCTGGCCTGTGGCAGAGGTACTATGCTGCCTGGCCGCATGGAACTCTGGGTAGGAGAGTGCGGGAGAGCAATAATTGCATTTATCCACGTTTCGATGTAGATTCTAAGCTGGGATGTTATCAAACTGGGGCGTTGGTGAGTAGATGAGAAAACGAGCAACTTGATGGATCACAAATTCTTGTTAATTGTATTAATCCACGTTTCGGTGTTGATTCATACACTGTTATCTTTGTTTGTTTTCTCATCTACTCGCCAACCTCTCGCATGTCGGTAAGAATCACCAATGAATCATCCACTAATGCTGGCGGAGAGAATTCATTTCCGATTTTTATTGAGTAAATATACAAGGTCTGTTTATATCATGTAAAATAAACAGTCTAATTGCATCGATCAGTAACAATGACACGTTCCAGAATTTCCCACTGTACAAATGTTTACTGTTTGTAAAGCATACTTATTTTCATGCGATATATCTAAAAGATATTGACATAAAAATGTCGGGCACATTGAAAGATAGATATCTGCACAGTTCATGACCACAGCTCTCCGTGAGTTACAGTTTTCGGTCACTATACTCAAGAAGACTGTCCGTTCAAACTTATTGATAACTGAATATTAATCGTAAATGTGATGATGTGATTGATTTCAGAAAAATGAAATCGCCCAATTGTATCGATGTAATCAATAAAAAAACTTGTCAGGACAGACCAAGGTAATCCGGTGCATTGAATGTGTGTTTGGTTAAAAGAGTGTGGTATTTATAAAATTGCCAAATACGTGCAATACGTTCTGTTAACATTTCCTGTAATTGTTCTTTTGTAAAGGGGAAGATCATAATTTTGTGTCGGATAGAAATCTCAATTGATAAAGCTAAGGGGCTGGAGGCTGTGTGGAATAATGGCCCTGCAGGTTTTACATCCAATTAAACTTACCTAATTTCTCACTTTTTCATACTGGGCGGTGAGATAGCCTAGTGGTTAAAGCGTTCGCTCGTCACCCCGAAGACCCGGGTTCGATTCCCCACATGCGCACAATGTATGAAGCCCATTTCTGGTGTCTCCCTTCACCAGATGCGCACAATGTATGAAGCCCATTTCTGGTGTCTCCCGCCATGATATTGCTGGAATATTGCTAAAAGTGGCGTAAAACCATATTCACTCACTCACCTGTAATTCGGGGCGGTGGGGTAGCCTAGTGGTTAAAGCGTTCGCTCGTCACGCCGAAGACCCGGTTTCGATTCCCCACATGCGCACAATGTATGAAGCCCATTTCTGGTGTCTCCCGCCATGATATTGCTGGAATATTGCTAAAGCGGTCTAACACTAAACAACTCACTCAGTGTTTTATACATTAAGTATTCCAACGATCCTATGTTACACTTCAGATAGTTGTCAGTGCCAGGGCGAATTTAGAGCCACAGATGCTTCGGCCATCTAGGCCACACGCTCTTAGAAACGCTGGTAATGTCAACTGTCTACCATTCCAGCATTTTATTCATGTTATATCGAATCATATAGAATAGTACTAAAATGTGTCTGTCATTTTCCAAGACAATATGTTTTGCAGTGTTATAAAAATTCAACCTTAAAAGAAGTAAGGTTTTGAGGGGAGGCGGCTCAAATTGTAGAGAATTTATTTTGGGGGTCCTGCATCGAGTGAGTGAGTGAGTTTAGTTTTATGCCTCTTTTAGCAATATTTCAGTATTATCTCGGCCGGGGACGCCAGAAATGGGCTTCACACATTGTACCCATGTGGGGAATCGAACCCGGGTTTTCGGCGTGACGAGCAAAAAAGTATTAGCCACAAGGCTACCCAACTGTCTGCCCCACTGACACCATACGACAGGGCATGTGTTTATCAATCCCTAACAATTAGTGATGATACCAGGAGTTCGCGAAAAAGTGAGCTACCTGCCCCACCGGTGGCACCCGTCATGAACATATGCAAAGGCTTATCAACTGTCCACCTGAAACAAATTAATACCGTATGGTACAAGCCAAAACAGGGAAATTAGTCATTTTTGTTACTGATGCATCAAATTTTGAAATGTCCCCACACATCTACCATAAAAAGGTTTGAAAGTTTACTGAGGCCTTGAATGTTGTACCCTTCGTCGAACAACATCTGACAGTCTTATAGCGCTGTATGAAATTTTGGTAAAACCAGCATGCTCGAGTGAACCTCACACGTTGTGAAACGCAAACCCTAATGGTAGGAGTGAGTGAGTGAGGTAAAATTTAACGTCACCTCGGCAATATTTCAGCCATATAGTGACGAGAAATGTTTTATTAAACAATAAATTTAAGTTGCTAAATAATCAGTCATCGAAGGACTGTAAAATAGCTGAGTACCACAGAGTCTAAAACTAGCATGAACATGTAAAACTATTTTATTTACGAAGACAATACAATATAAAAACGAGCTATAGGCTGCCAGCAACTGGAGGTACAAATGGCAGGAGCTGTTGGGATATTGCATGACAAGTGAGTTGACTATTGGAAAAATTAAATCATCTCTTGTGTCATACAGCCTTTGTCATACCTCTTTTTGTCAAGGAGTACCATGTTCCACTGTCTTGAACATAATTTCAGGTATTGTCTAGTGCCCAGTGTGAAAGCTGATCTTTTGATTTACTGGTTGCAATCTCACAGGAAGACAGGCAAATGGACGGTACATTTTGGACGGAGGCACGTTATCATAAAATCTTTGAAGACAAATCGATATATCTAACAGCCTCACCGTCACGTTTCCGGTACTTCCGTGAGAAGTTTATTTATTTCTTGTACTGTGTAATCTCCCAGTTAAAAGGGCTGGAACAAAGAAATGGAATCTGATCTTACTCAAAAGAAATGCATCAGCTTTATCTTCCGCTGTCTGGATACCATAACACCCAGGGGCCCGTTTCACAAAGCGATCGTAGCGCTACGACATGGGAGTTACGATCACCTTAGACCTACGATCGCTTTGTGAAAAGGGACCCAGGGACCCAGCCTGCACACCCACTGTAGACACATATCCCATACACCCCACTGTGGACACACAACCCGTACACCCAACAGATTACCCATATCCCTCCTGTGTACATTTTCCAGAAAACGTATATCATTGATCATTATACCCCTGGTAACATTTAGTTTTCTTACCACATGCCATGTACTGTCTGTTCAGAATCCTTTCCGGCAGTTAGAACGCATGAAAGAGCAAATTGCGACATGCCTAGTTGGGTTACTGTTTGTAAACATAGAGTGGGCGATGATATCCTAGCACAATATAACACTGAAGTCCATATGTAATACACATGATCTATTTTAAACGTGCTAAAGCTTTCAGACACTTCATACATTAAACTGACCTTCAGTGATCTTCAACGTCACAAACAGGTGTATATATATATATATATTATATTTTATTTATATATATATATATATATATATATATCGAATATGGAAACAATATATATATATATATATATATATTATATTTTATTTTATTTATTTTTTATATATATATATATATATATATATATATATATATATATATATATATATATATATATATACTGAATTCAAAATGAAACGCGAATATTACTCAAGTTTGAAATTACATCAAAAGGGATATAAATCAAATGCTTGGAAGTCATTCTCTACAGGTGTGTGTCCTGACAATACCGAAATAGCTGCTAATGGAGGCCATAGTCGATCATATTATGTTGTGTCTCAAATGCCTCAAATTCAGTTTACATAAACAAGATTTCTCTTCACACTATGAACGCCATGACGACAAACGAAAAGGTGTCAATTTGTCACATTTTCAGTAACCCTTTTTACATTTACGTTCACATTTTGTTAATGTTTACACTATAGGACAAGACAATATTCCGTTTGTAATGAAGAGAAACTAGTCCAGTTACTCTTACACAATCAGGTGGATTTGGAAATGCTGTGAAAATATACCGTTAGGCGCCTTTTAATCATGAGTTTGTGCGAGCCAAGTCAATGAGCCTGACCACCACCCGATCCCGTTCGTTACCACAAGCATGGGTTGCTGAAGACCAATTCTAACCCGGATCTTCACAGGTCGTCTGTGTTCGTGGTATTCTTGAATCATGAATAGTGAGCCCAGTGAGTAACCATACCGCAATTTAACACGGATAACCCACTGACTCTTCCCACCTGAACCTGTCAGTCTCCTCTTAAGACAAGTATTGGTTGGCCGAAAATCAGTTCTTAATATACTGACATCGACGCGATTCATAGCATAACCCACATGAGTTTATACAGCTTCAAACATATTACAAGTTGCCACATCTTGATTTTACTCCACACAGTGTTCTTACTTCAGGACTGACTGACTGACTGAGTTTAGTTTTACGCCGCTTTTAGAAATATTCCAGTAACATCACCGCGGCCTGGGCTTCACACATTGTACCCATGTGGGGATTCGAACCCGGGTCTTCAGCGTGACGAGCGGACGCTTTAACCACTGGGCTACCCCACCGCCCCTCTAACTTCAGAAACCATTCGTAATCGTTTACAACCAGCTGGACTTCGAGCCAGCGACCCTATTTCCAGCTGCAGTTTGTGTGCACCTTCGCGCTCCGATAGCGACCTCCAACATTTCGCGTGAACAAAAACGGCCTGGTCATGACTGAAAACTTTTAAGTCGTGCACATACAGTCCGTTTGAGACAAAATGATACCGATGAATTGCAACCTAACACAAAAACAAATAGACATAAAAGAATCAAACCAACGCGGACTGCAATAAAAACAACAGACCAACTCTAGAAAACAATAGCAGAATGTTTGTCACAAAATTTAAAAAGTTGTTTAAGGAAATGTCATCATTTATTTATGCGTTTTCCCAGTTTGTTACAACGGCGCAGTGGCAACTAAAGGAACAGCGCGAAAAGCAATTCATCCGTATCATTTTGTCGCAAACGGACTGTTCCCTTCTAGAAAAATATGTAATATTCTTCCTTGTGCCCGTTTCAATATCCTATCATGTTCGGGATGAAAATGCAAGGAAATATTGTTTGGTATTGAACTGAGACAGTCGTCTCCTGGACGACATTCAGCCATTTTGACAGCTCTTCATCGCAAAGCTCGGGGGACATAGCAACAGTAACCAATGGAGGCGTGGCTTCGTAGCGTCGGTCGGAACTATACATTTTGACCTTGTGCTGTAACGACTACATCTCCGTTACGGAGTGGCTTTGAGTTTTTGCGCGAAGGGTTACATTTTACAGGCATTTTTACTCAGAAATGCAAAGCAAGGCTGAATATTTTCCTTTTGTTGACAGAATCATATTCGAGGGAAACTGTTTAGATCACAAAATTTGCATATTAAGTGCACAATTACTTCAAAGGTCAATGAGTTCGACAGGATGCGATAGTCGTTTTTACATGTGTGTCACATGAATGCTATTATACTGCTTAACATGCATGTCAAATACAATTGCTTTCATTCATGGAGTGAGTTTGAGTAATTATTTTAGCAACATAATTACAGAAGTAACAGTTCAGGGGATCAAAGGGACAGGTAGGTACCCATCTGATAAAAAACTAAAAGTCGCTCCGTAAGAGAGATATTAGCAAAAATACGCAATTTTTTCCGCCAGAATTTCCTTGAAATCCAACTTTTTCAAAATCTTGTGGTAACGTTATAATTTAATATATTGTAAAATGAGTTAATTTTATGGATAGAGACAGATAGATAAGACACGCTAAGATTCTTCACAAAAATACATGCAAACATTTTTAAGCAGACTGTAAAATAAATCTTTGTTATAAATTTTTAAATGGCGTAAATCCTACAAAGGGTCATCTAACTTCTCAGATTTTGTGTGCATCCATATTTGATATAGCCAGCTCCATGTGCACCGCAGTTCAGAATTAAGTATTAACCAGACTCTGAGAGTGTGGGTTCGATTTCCGCATGGGATCAGCAAACAAAAGTACTAGAATCTGTACTTTACTGAGAAAGTGTAATTCTTAATTTAACAAATGTTACAAATTTCTTGAGCTGGCAGGGGCGGTGGAGTAGCCTAGTGGTTAAAGCGTTCGCACATCACGCCGAATGTCTAGGTTCGATTCCCCACAGGGTAACAATTTGTGAAGCCTAATTCTAGTGTCCACGCTGTGATATTGCTGCAGTATTGCTAACAGCAGCGTAAAACCATACTCACTCACCCTTGAGCTGACTATACAATACATAAATTACAAGGACAGCAATGAGCATGAAGGATGTGAGCGGATCTCCAGCTTGGGTGTTTCCAGCTGACAGCACATCCTTCTCGTGGTCGTCCTCACACAAGGAACTTCTTTTAGAGGCACTTAGAAATGGGAGTTCCAAGTAAGGATAAGATATATCGATACACTTCTTTATTCTAATGAAGAGTGTCATTTTGGTGTAGATTGTAACACCGTTATCAAGTTATGTACTCGGTGGTGTAGGGAGGCATACATACAGACATGAAGCAGTTTTGACAGAGAAGCCGGTTAAGAATACATTGCAAAATCTACTTACACAAGCAGTGCAATACCAGACTGTCTGGCAGATAGCATGCAAACATTTATGTAGTTAAATACAACCATGGGCAGCTAAGCAGACAATGGCATTGCCTTGGTGGTGACAGACAAGGGGATAACGAGTTGATGTTATAAATGTCATTCACAGCAATTTATGAAGTCACAGAATGGTACAGGTTTGCTTACAAGTCAGTATACAATGCAGTGGTAATGAGAATTAAGAATGGAGATTAGCATCAAATGATTACAATGAAGTTATACTTGTCTTGGCTACATAGCATTTGGAATTTGGAATGTAATGTGTAGTCGGACAATTACTGTCCTCTATCACTCGCTATGACAATGCACATGCCTAACCTTTAATAATGCCCTTGTTTATCAGTATTTATGGATCGACTTGAAAGATTTCTTATTGGAAACATAATAAATATATTAAGAAAACTGTTAACAAAGAAGCAAAATTATTAAATATGAAATCTTTTTTCACAAATACCTTGAGATGCATAACATTGCCTTAGAGTACAAATCATGTCGCTTATAGTACAAGGGGGCAAGGGTCAAACATGACAAGCGTGGCAAGGATGATGTAAGTTTTCTGTGTGTTGCTGTGTGGGTGGAAATGTATCTTCAGCTAATCAGCTGCATGTAGCTTTTACCAGAATTGGAATCACAGAACACATTTTCCTTTTCAGAGACAATATTGCTGAGTCAGGGGAAATGTATCTTCAGCTAATCAGCTACACGTCAAACTTGCTAGAATCAGAATCACAGAACACGTTTTCCTTTTCGGACAATATTGCTGAATTAGGGGAAATGTATCTTCAGTTAATCAGCTACACGTTATATTCGTCAGAATCGGAATCAAACATAGCGACAGGTCCTCTAGGATTTTGTTGAAAGTCGGAGTCCAAGGCTTGGGACCATTCATTCAAGTCCTCGTCTCCAATGGTTTGTCCTGAACTCTCAGAATCACCTATTGTCCAACGGACATCACGCTTGTGAGAGGCTGGAGTGTCTTCGAGCCCGGACTTATGGGTATGTTTATCAGGAGTAAATTCATTATCGGCAAATCCGTTTTGTGGACTTTCATTTTCAGGCCAAATGACTTTTTGAAGAGAGCGCCAGTGGTTCCCGTCGGTGTCTTCGTTTTGCTGGGGTGGTGATTCTAAAGGAACATCAAGACGTGAGCGATTACGTTCACTTCCATTCTCTGTGGATTGAAACGTTTCCAACTGGTCAACATCGTTCACGTTACCATCCTGCACGACATCCTCATCTGTCTCGTCATCCTTCTCATCTTCCACGATATCATTTATTTCTCCGCCCGTTCCGGGCAGAGGCTGCGTGGAGTCTACTACAAACCCACCATCATCATCCCTCTGACCCATGTCTCTGTCATCGCCTCCACTCACATCTGCAGTAAATGTTTCCTCTTGACCATCCAAGTTCCTCTGGGTTGAAACTCCGCCCGCATCGCGTCCACCAATATTGCGTCTCGACACCATTTCATTTTCATATAGATCCCTATCATCACCATCATAATTCTCATTATCATAATCATCACCTTCATCAATGATAGCATCGACGCTGACAAATAAACCATTAACAGTTCTGTAATTCAAATAGTCCGATTCCCGGTTCGAATCTCCTGTATAGCGTCCTCTAGATTCTACATCCACCACTGCATCCTCAGCGGCTTCCTCCTCCTCTTCCACTTCTTCTTCTTCTTCCTCTATATCATGTAAGTGATCATTACTGTTGTACTGCACAGTCATGCTGGCCTTTCTGAAGGTGTCACCCTGTTCTTCATCATCATCTTCGCTGCCGTCAACTCCACTGGTACTGCCGTTCAATGGATCATAACCACCATCATCATAAACACCATCATCATCAGTTCTTCCCCCATCACCCAGTTCGTATTTGTATTTGAGCCGCCGGAACTGTGCGTCAATAAAGTCCTCGTTCTCATAAGGATCGCTGTCATCGTCAATGTCAAGCGGCTTCTTGTTTTCATCACCCGTCACAACCTCATTCTCATACAGTCCGTCGTCGGCGTCTTCCTCACTTTCCACGGCTTCCTCAATGTCACTGACGGAGTAGTTAGTTCCGTCGTCAGGTAAGGTATAAGCTCCTGATTCCCTTCTGTTAGGAATGTCCAATCCAATCTTCCGGGCATGAAGGGCCAAAGAATCTCTAGCTATCACGATATTTTCACTGCCGTCAACATCAAACTCGGCTGAACTCTCTGAAAGTTCAGGATGTGTGTTTCTCGAACGTCGTTCAGGACGTACTGGCAGAGGTGGTTCAGCCAGGGGACTTTGAACTGGAGTTTCTTCAGATCGTACTCTTTGCACAGCATTACCTTCTCGTTGCCCAGATTCAACAGAGAGTCTTGATGACGTCCTGGTATCAGCTCTTGGTCCGGGAACCGGCATAGGCGGAGTTAACGTCTTCGTGTTAGTCTTTGCAAGATCCGTTTGCACAAAGGTATTTCTGACAGGTATTTCATAAGCATAGTTCTGAGTTCCTACCGTCAGGTCTTCATACTCATCGTCCTGAAACTGTGGCTGTCCTGTGTTGGGTTGATACTCAAGGTTTTGGATAGCATTGTGGGCTTTCAGTTCAATAGTCTCATGACCACCAGGACTGTACTGATTATGCACCAGGTCAAACATGGCTTTACCCTTTGGTCTCCGATACTTTGTTTTAATTTTTCTGAAAACAAACCACGTCATCTTATCATCAAGTTTGGAACAAATGTTCATGAATTAATATACAGGTTTGTTGATGAAGGAAGTGCTCCGCGAATTTACAGCTATTTGACGGCGGCCTGTAAATAGTCCTACACAATCCAGTGTCTGGACCTGACAATCCAGTGACTGATAGTATGAGCAACGGTCCACACCGTTGGCCTATGGTGACACGTTCTCAACCAAGTCACCAGGCCTCTTACGTCCAGCGCTGCCTCTATATAAAGTTTGTTTCTTTGTTGTTTTACGCCGCACTCAGCAATATTCCAGCTATATGGCGGCGGTCTGTAAATAATGGAAGTCTGCACCAGACAATCCAGTGATCAACAGCATGAGCATCGATCTACGCAATTGGGATTCGATGACATGTGTCAACCAAGTCATCACACCTGACCACCCGATCCCTTTAGTCGCCTCTTACTACAAGCATGGGTTACTGAAGATCAATTCTAACCCGGATCTTCACGGGTCTCTATATTAAAATTATCTCGAGTACTGCGTAGTCCGCTACAAGAGACCTCGATTGTCAAACATAGCATCAATAAGGATTTAGTTTAATCACGTGACAGATTAACAGTGGAAGGTTTTTATAGGTTTGGTGAAACTTTCGAGCACGAGAGTATGGTGCTGACAATAGTAGAAACAAAATCAACAGGCAATGGAACCCATGAGTTTCTGACATGGCCGCACTTTAAACGTCTAAGATTCAAGTGAGAATCAGTATTCAGTATGCAGTGTGAAGTAATCTTTGCACTGTGTGAGATGCAGTATGAGTAAGTAGGTTTAGTTTTACGCCGCATTTAGCAATATTCCAGCAATATCACGGCGAGGGACACCAGAATAGGCTTCACACATTGTACCCTTGTGGGGAATCGAACCCAGGTCTACGGCGTGACGAGCAAACGCTTTAACCACTAGGCTATCCTACCGCCCCAGATGCAGTGTGAGCACACTGACTAGGAAACATGGACAGGTTCGTATTATGGGGGCGGTGGGGTAGCCTAGTGGTTAAAGCGTTCGCTCGTCACGCCGAAGACCTGGGTTCGATTCCCCGCATGGGCACAATGTGTTAAGCCCATTTCTGGTGTCCCCCGCCGTGATATTGCTGTAATATTGCTAAAAGCGGCGTAAAACTAAACTCAGTCAGTCAGTCGTATTATGGATATAATAGTACAGTGGTTATGTAAACACGTACTACCAACTACTGGATGATTATTATATGCTTGTGGTACAAATAAACAAGGTAATATTCTCTGTACGTGTAGTATTGAATTTCCTTGTGGTTTTGTGTGTACACCGTCTCTGAGGACAAGCGGATAGACCATATACATGTAGTAATATATTATAGTAGTATTTATAAATACAACAACGATGAAGATGATAATAGTGGTGGTGGGGATGATGATGATGATGATGACGACGACGACGACGACGATGATGATGACGACGACGACGATGATGATGATGATGACGACGACGACGATGGTTGTGATGGTGACGACAATAATGATGATGATACTGGTGGTGATGATAATGATGACGATGACGATGATGATGAAGCCCATCAACAACTTACACGACAACAATAATGACGTTGACAGCCACGCTGGCAGCCAGAAGGAGAGACAACGTAATTATGGCGATTTTCACTGAAAGTAAAAATTGTCAATACTAATTGCTATTGATATGATAATGGTATTGTTGAACAAAAGGCCGTGGTCTTTACAATAGATGAAGAAAGCAGCAAAACACTGATAAAACAAGCATATAATTCTATGTACATGGCTACACGATTAATTTAACAGCAGGACAATTTCTATCATTTTCTTGTAATTTCAACATTTTTCGCGTTATTGCGGGTTTTTATAGAAAATCTTAATTTGAAAAGAAATTCTCGTTACTTACATTATGTTCTTGTTATAAGACTATGTCGAAAACATGTCGAAATTACGAAATTATGATCGAACAAGACCAATTACTATGTTCAGGAGACTTCTTGGATGCATGTCATCGTGTAGATCGGTACTGACGATGTCTTGCCCGGAACTGAGTATTTTCAGACCACACGCATGGATGGACAACACAGCACACTGACATCCAAACAGGCAGACACCCAAACAGGCAGACACCCAACAGGCAGAAATCCCCACAGGCAAACAACCAACAGGCAGACAGCCCAACAGGCAGACACCCAACAAGCAGACATCCCAACAGGCAGACACCCCAACAGGCAGATACCCAACAGGTAGATATCCCAACAAGCAGACATTCCAACACACATCCCAACAGGCAGACATCCCAACGGGTAGACACCCAACAGGCAGACATTCCAACACACATCCCAACAGGCAGACATCCCAACGGGTAGACACCCAACAGGCAGACATTCCAACACACATCCCAACAGGCAGACATCCCAACGACGCAACAGGCAGACACCCAACAGGCAGACATTCCAACACACATCCCAACAGGCAGACACCCCAACGGGCAGACACCCAACAGGCAGACATTCCAACACACATCCCAACAGGCAGACACCCCAACGGGTAGACACCCAACAGGCAGACATTCCAACACACATCCCAACAGGCAGACACCCCAACGGCTAGACACCCAACAGGCAGACATTCCAACACACATCCCAACAGGCAGACACCTCAACGGGCAGACACCCAACAGGCAGACATCCCAACACACATCCCAACAGGCAGACACCCCAACAGGCAGACACCCCAACAGGCAGACATTCCAACACACATCCCAACAGGCAGACACCCCAACAGGCAGATACCCAACAGGTAGATATCCCAACAGGCAGACATTCCAACACACATCCCAACGGGCAGACATCCCAACGGGTAGACACCCAACAGGCAGACATTCCAACACACACCCCAACAGGCAGACACCCCAACAGGCAGATACCCAACATGTAGATATCCCAACAGGCAGACATTCCACACACATCCCAGGAGGCAGACATCCAAACGGGTAGACACCCAACAGGCAGACATTCCAACACACACCCCAACGGGCAGACATCCCAACGGGTAGACACCCAACAGGCAGACATTCCAACACACACCCCAACAGGCAGACAGCCCAACGGGCAGACACCCAACAAACAGAGATCCCAACAGGCAGATATCCCAACAGGCAGACACCCAAAAGTAAGACACCCCAACAGGCAGACACCCAAAAGTAAGACACTCCAACAGGCAGACACCCAAAAGGAAGACACCCCAACAGGCAGACACCCAAAAGAAAGACACCCCAACAGGCAGACACTCAAGAAGCAGACATCCCACAGGAAGACACCCAACAAGCAGATATCCCAACACGCAGACACTCCAACAAGTAGATATCCAAACGCGCACGTCCCATCCAACCTCTCCAAACTTGTTGAGAATAAGCAACTGTAACACGCCCTCTCTGCTTCGTCTATAAAGCTTTGATCCGTCGCTGTGACCTCATGCTGAAAGTGTAAACCACCTTCGCTCTCTCTTGTTCTAATTCATTGTCTAGGATCTATATAGAAAATGATCAATTGGCGGACAATTATGTATACTCACTCGATCCTAACGAGGAACCGGAGTCTGAAAATCAAAATATACATTGAAAAATCATTTATAATGTCGTTGACAGTAATTAGCTCTTAACTCATAATTACATGATTACACAATGCCATTTAGAAACTTGTCAAATATCTATAACTATCTCGGTAAAGAACAGATTCTAGTACTTTCTTGTGATTAGTCTCATCCGGGGTTCGAAACCATTCTCTTAGAGTCTGGCACCTAGCCGCCAGCACAGAAAGTCAGCGATCTAACCCACTCAGCCACACAATGCTCAGGCTATCTCACCAAAATAGAAGTCTGACAACTGGTAGTTTATATCGTGTAGTTTGTGTGCCCATACACAAATTGGCACGGATACTACATAACTGATCGAGCGTTCCGATTCGGTTGACTACATGTCATCATGCCCCGACGTCGTGGAATGTTGCTCGTTATATCGCTCGCTACTTGTCCATTTCAGTCATGAAAGAACACTGGGATTTGAATGGATGATAATTGTTTATCATTCCAACCCGACTCAAAAAGAACATAGGGTGACGAATGGGTCCAGGGTATGTATGATGTTATAACGGAGATATATAGCCCTGGATGACCGAGGATGGATGCAGACATGTTTCCGGTGAATGAATCAGAGGATGACATCACTTAGAGTGAGTGAGTATGGTTTTACGCCGCTTTTAGCAATATTCCAGCAATATCACGGCGGGGGACACCAGAAATGAGCTTCACACATTGTACCCATGTTGGGAATCGAACCCGTGTCTTCGGCATGACGAGCGAACGCTTTAACCACTAGGCTGCCCCACCGCCCCGACATCACTTAGAGAAATAAGTATAACGTATTACAAAAAGATAATGCTACGCTTTCAGTTTTAAATCAAATTTAGAGCTATTATAAGTTCGCTATATACCTCTGATTTTCCAACACAGAATGTTTATTTCCATTCTACCATAACCGCGTTATTAACATTTTTTAAATACATATAGTGTTGGAAAATCAGAGGTATATAATGACTTTATTAACCAATCACAATCCAGTATTTACTGAAGTCATGGTATAATGAATGTTGATCCATTGTTTACATGTGTATTCATGGAGTAGAACTCTGCCACTAACTGTGTTCCTCTCACCTGTAGTTGATGCTGTTTCGTTGTATTGATCTGAAACAATGACGAGCATTTCGAAATAAGGCGAGTGTCGTAATGATCGATCATACAATGTATATTAATGGAGGCTATATCAAACGTGATGAAAGTTTTCGGAAAAAAACATCGTTCCAGAAAATATTGAAAGATTAATTTCTCCCCTGGACCTTTTACAATACCTGGACCTTTTACAACACCTGGACCTTTTACAACATAAGTCATTGCACGGTTTATATAAGTTATGTACGCAGAATGTAGTTCATATTTGCTATATATAGCTTGTATAAGGTGTTACAGAACTCTCATTTATATAGGGCGGTGGGGTAATCTAATGGTTAAATCGCTTGCTCGTCACGTCGAAGATATTAACTGACACAGATCGCTGGTTAAATATGACATGTTGCTTGCGATGACATTTAGATGGCCCTTATGAGTTTTTTATATATATTTCCTTAGTCACTTGTACTTATTTTGTCAGTGACAACTGTGAGGGTCTAGTGCTACCAGTGGAGCCGACATGTTTGCTCGCTGGATTTTCATTTCTCCATTCACTTCCATATGTTTCAATGTTTGTTTTTAACGCCGAACGAAATCTGCTTCAGTGGAAACCTGAGACGTTCTAGCGCTAACGTTGCTGTAGATCCGCAGGGTAAATACTAAGTTTTATTAGACCAGGGCCTTTATTCTCGAAACGGTCGAAGCCCTAAGAATTCTTAACTTTGATCGTGTGTTAAGAATGAACTTCAGAAGCTCGTAGAGCTACGTATACGAACGTTTCGAGAATAGCTACAGTCCGTTTGAGTCAGAAACGGACCGATGAATTGCAAATTTTATCATTGTACAAAATTGCCACATAAATATAAATAGTACACATGTTTATCATTTACTAATACCCAACAGCTTTCTGATATTTGAAAATTTTCCGGACTCCACCAAAAAGTTGTTTAAGAAACTATCATCATTGAAAACGCAAAAGTTGTTATCTGTCGCGGCTGGGTGAAACCGCAGAAACGGAACAGCCACTATCTCGTCGTGCACGGGATACACATGCCTGATGAAAAATGAAGTTGAATGCTGACGTGAAACAGTTGATGATTAAAGTGTACGATTTTTTCCGTGCTGAAGCCGAAAGGGGCAATAGTGAAATATGTGTGTTAATTGCTTCCAACAACAACTGCCACCAATATATCTTCCTCTCATCATTTTTCCATCGCAAGGGATAAATATTTCAGCGTAAAACAGTGAAAGATTTTTTTTTATAATGTCAGATCTCATTTAATTATTGTATTTTTAAAAGAAATTAAATTGTTGAATAATTATTTATAACTATGTTGTAAATAGAGAAATGTTTTATAATTGGTTATATAAATTAGCAACAGAGATTGTTAATGGCTGTATTCTCAAAGGGGCTTAAAGTATTATAAAATTATTGTTCTCCTGAGAGAGTACGTAAGTTCCGAAACATTCAAACTAAATTTAGATCTACCACTATCTCTAATCGTAGTATATGTGTTGTTTATATTTATGGCTAGAGTTTTTCATCCATAGGGATGGTGTAAATCCAGCTAGGGTGGCGATCTATAGCCTGTTTCTATATTGTATTGTCTCCAATAGTTGAAAAGTTTTAGATTTACCTACTAGTTTTACATCTAAATCTATTATATTCGAGTTGTTTTCTCGTTCTTTGTTTACAGTCTTTTGTATGATTGTAACTTTATGTCTTATGAATGTATAACTTGTTTTAGTTTCGATACTGCTGAAATACTGCCGATGTGACTTAAAATCTTAACTCATTCACTCCCTCTTCCTCTTACCTCTGTCACACTTGTCCCCATACCAGCCATCTTCACAGTCACCATAGCAACTGCCCGTCACAGGGTCGCAGAGTAGATGGAGACAGGTTGAGTTTGTTTCTGTGTCACACGACGAGTTGTTGGCACAATGAGCACAGTCTACAAAATAGAGATGGAAACGGAGCACTCAAGTCACGGAGTTGCAATTGGCTGTGTAGAGATGAGTCTTTCAGTTGTGCAAGATACATATGAGAGCGGGATTTTGAAATCCTAGATTCGCCCTAATTATGAATTTAGATTTCTCAGCAGCAGCAACCATTGTTGGTTTCACCACGGAGATAAATATTTTATTTAGACTTGCATCACTTCGGGTTTTTCTCCCACGATCCGCCAACAAACTGTTCCGGCTGCTAGACACAAACTCGCTCATACTCTCTCACTCTTTGAATGAGTGAGTTGAGTTAGTGAGTGCGTGCACTCAGCTTTACGCCACACTCAGCAATATTCCAGCTATATGGCGGCAGACTGTAAAAAATCGAGTCTGGACCAGGCAATCCAGTGATCAACACAATGAGCATCGATCTACGCAACTGGCATACGATGACATCTGTCAACCAAGTCAGGGAGCCTGGCCACCCGATCCCGTTAGTCGCCTCTTACGACAAGCATGGGTTGCTGAAGATCAATTCTAACCCGGATCTTCACGGGTCATTCTCTTTGAGCTACAACATCATCTACCGTAGCAACGACGAAGAAGTTCTAAATCAATCATGCAATTAAATGATTAGACCAGGGCCTTTATTCTCGAAACGTTCGAAGCCCTAAGAATTCTTAACTTTGATCGTGTGTTAAGAATGAACTTCAGAAGCTCGTAGAGCTACGTATACGAACGTTTCGAAAATAGCTACAGTCCGTTTGAGTCAGAAACGGACCGATGAATTGCAAATTTTATCATTGTACAAAATTGCCACATAAATATAAATAGTACACATGTTTATCATTTACTAATACCCAACAGCTTTCTGATATTTGAAAATTTTCCGGACTCCACCAAAAAGTTGTTTAAGAAACTATCATCATTGAAAACGCAAAGTTGTTATCTGTCGCGGCTGGGTGAAACCGCAGAAAAAGTCTGTCGTACAGACCCTGAAGAAACAGCCACTATCTCAGTCGTGCACGGGATACACATGCCTGATGAAAAATGAAGTTGAATGCTGACGTGAAACAGTTGATGATTAAAGTGTACGATTTTTTCCGTGCTGAAGCCGAAAGGGCAATAGTGAAATATGTGTGTTAATTGCTTCCAACAACAACTGCCACCAATATATCTTCCTCTCATCATTTTTCCATCGCAAGGGATAAATATTTCAGCGTAAAACAGTGAAAGATTTTTTTTTATAATGTCAGATCTCATTTAATTATTGTATTTTTAAAAGAAATTAAATTGTTGAATAATTATTTATAACTATGTTGTAAATAGAGAAATGTTTTATAATTGGTTATATAAATTAGCAACAGAGATTGTTAATGGCTGTATTCTCAAAGGGGCTTAAAGTATTATAAAATTATTGTTCTCCTGAGAGAGTACGTAAGTTCCGAAACATTCAAACTAAATTTAGATCTACCACTATCTCTAATCGTAGTATATGTGTTGTTTATATTTATGGCTAGAGTTTTTCAGCAATGTCCTAACATCTATAGGGATGGTGTAAATCCAGCTAGGGTGGCGATCTATAGCCTGTTTCTATATTGTATTGTCTCCAATAGTTGAAAAGTTTTAGATTTACCTACTAGTTTTACATCTAAATCTATTATATTCGAGTTGTTTTCTCGTTCTTTGTTTACAGTCTTTTGTATGATTTAACTTTATGTCTTATGAATGTATAACTTGTTTTAGTTTCGATACTGCTGAAATACTGCCGATGGGACTTAAAATCTTAACTCATTCACTCCCTCTTCCTCTTACCTCTGTCACACTTGTCCCCATACCAGCCATCTTCACAGTCACCATAGCAACTGCCCGTCACAGGGTCGCAGAGTAGATGGAGACAGGTTGAGTTTGTTTCTGTGTCACACGACGAGTTGTTGGCACAATGAGCACAGTCTACAAAATAGAGATGGAAACGGAGCACTCAAGTCACGGAGTCGCAATTGGCTGTGTAGAGATGAGTCTTTCAGTTGTGCAAGATACATAAGAGAGCGGGATTTTGAAATCCTAGATTCGCCCTAATTATGCATTTAGATTTGTCAGCAGCGGCAACCATTGTTGGTTTCACCACGGAGATAAACATTTTATTTAGACTTGCATCACTTCGGGTTTTTCTCCCACGATCCGCCAACAAACTGTTCCGGCTGCTAGACAAAAACTCGCTCATACTCTCTCACTCTTGGAGTGAGTGAGTTAGTGAGTGAGTGCGTGCACTCAGCTTTACGCCACACTCAGCAATATTCCAGCTATATGGACGGCAGACTGTAAAACATCGAGTCTGGACCAGGCAATCCAGGGATCAACACAATGAGCATCGATCTACGCAACTGGGATACGATGACATCTGTCAACCAAGTCAGCGAGCCTGACCACCCGATCCCGTTAGTCGCCTCTTACGACAAGCATGGGTTGCTGAAGATCAATTCTACCCCGGATCTTCACGGGTCATTCTCTTTGAGCTACAACATCATCTACCGTAGCAACGACGTAGAAGTTCTAAATCAATCATGCAATTAAATGTTTTGTGAATGGAAAATAGCTGACCGGTGTATCATGAGTTTTATATGTATAGATACATGAGGAACATCAGTAGATACCAAGATTATGGGTATAAACAAATAGCTGTACACTAGGCTTCTTAGCAATAAACCAACCATGTAATGGAGGGAAACAGCGCGAATGGGTTTACAAATCGTACCTGAGATGGGAATCGAACTAATGACATCGGCGCTAAGAGCTAACACTTGAGCCACTAAGCTATCACCCTTTCATTTATCATTATCTGTACCTGCTGGTGTGGTCAATGTTGACGCTGTAACCGCTGACGTCGAAGATGATGTCGTATATGTTGACGTAGTGCCCGTTGACGTTAAAGGTGATGTCGTGGAATGTGTTGACGGAGTTTCCACTGACGTTGAAGTTGATGTCGTAATATATATTGACCTAGTTTCCGTTGACGTTGAAGGTGATGTCGTTGTGCCTGAAGTGTTTAAGGTTGCAATGGCTTTTGGTATTGACGTAGACCTTGCTTGCGTTGTGTCTGTATGCGTCTTGTGTGCAGACGGAGTACTCGATGTTGGGTGTGTCAACAATAAATAATACAACCGTAATCAAGATACGTAGGTTAACATGAACATGTCTTTCATCAGACCGACTGAGTTACAGGTGGATATACATCAGAACCCCGCTATACAAGATACAAATTAACCTTAGTGAGTGAGTATGGTTTTACGCCGCTTTTAGCAATATTCCAGTAATATCACGGCAGGGGACACCAGAAATGGGCTTAACACATTGTACCCATGTGGGGAATCGAACCCGGGTTTTCGGCGTGACGAGCGAACGCTTTAACCACTAGGCCACCCCACCGCCTAAACTAACTTTAGTCGAGTATACACTCTGAAAATGAATTTGAAGTCCTAACGTATTGAAGAGCAAGCCAGAACGGCTTGTACATAAACATAGTGCTTTAACTATAATAGTTAAGTGTGCTTTATTACACTATACATGGTGGTAGAGTGAACTGTATTTCTTAAATAATCGCTAAAAATGTTTAGGAAAATACGCGAAGTGAACTTTCCGCCATATTGAGTGTTTACAAAATACACGTATGTCGGTTATGCTACGCCTATTACGTCGCGCATAATTGAAACTCAGGCTCCTTGCGTGAGTCCCTGAATTCCTCGTACATTTTATTTACAATCAATGACAAATGGCTAACATTTCTGTTTGTAACGACATATGTCATTAGCCGTTTAATTTTTTGAACGATAAAACGATTAAGCTTTCTAAATATCACAGCGGGGAACACCAGAAATGGGCTCCACATGTTGTATCCATGTGGGGAATCGAACCTGGGTCTTCGGCTTTGCGAACTTTTTAACCACACCGCCCAAGATGAGAAGAGAAAAAGGAAGACGCAAAATGTTGCGTTTTCAACTTACAAGAGCGCAGTTCAGTTGCATCTTGAATGAACCATTTACTACCCAAACTGCCAGTTACACGTGCATGGGCTAAACCACTGGTTGCGTTCAGGTACGTGTTTTGGGTTGCATTTTCCATCACCATCAATGTTGCACTTTTCATTGTTTTTGATAGGATGTCCATTTTTCCAATTTCAGAAAAGCATCCAATCATCGAACTTCGGCATAAACAACATGTCCTTCAACTGTTAATCACATTGTAAACATACACAGACCGACCGACACTTGGCATGTATCCATATTTGACACGACATACAGATATGACCCTTCAGTTATCTGGCTGAGAATTCATCAATATTAGATAACAGAGACAATGCCTATATCTTGGTGGGTGTTTTTAAAATGCCCGGAGAGAGGACTACTGGCTTCATCATACCGTGATACGTTAAAGTGCTATACTTGTTGTTGACTTGCCTGGCGATCAACAAGTAACGGTACACGTAGGCACACACCGCTCCATACAAACGCTGGTATACTTCATATCACACTAACCTTATATACAAGTAAACACCAGGAATATAAAGTAGTTTCTCCCCTACTCGCCAATCCTACATTTGAAAGCGAGTCGTACAGTTGTGGTATTACTTGAGATAAACCTACATTCAATTAAAACTATTTTGCCTTGATGTTATGCATCCATTACTTATTTGAAGTGATAATGTGTATCATATCTATTTTAAGAAATTAATGCAAAATTAATTAGGTTTGTTCAACAACCAGCATCACAGCTACGAACATCATGTCGATGTTAAACGTATGGGACTTCAGACTTACATTTGTCTTCAAGGAAACAGGTGTGTCCACAGAGGTTGCTGCACGAGTGGTTGCCATGTAACATTTATATTACAACACAACGTTTCAAAACGTAACTATGCGTTGGCATAGCCTAGCGGAAGAAGCGTTCACTTTTCACGCTGAATACCCGGGTTTGATTCCCATATGGATCCAATCTGTGACGCCCATTTTGTGTCCCCTGTCGTGATATTGCTGGAATATTGCTTCATACGACGTGAAACTCACTCACTCAAAACGTATCAAACGAGCGACAGACTCCTTCAGGAATATACATCAGTCGCTTGTAATACCCGTGAAGATCCGGGTTAGAATTGATCTTCAGTAACACATGCTTGTCGTAAGGGGCGACTAACGGGGTCGGGTGGTCAGGCTCGTTGACTTGGTTGACACATGTCATAGTATCCCAATTGCGTAGATCAATGCTCATGCTGTTGATCACGGGAGGTGAGGTGAAATTGGGTTTAACGTCGTGCTTGAGAATATTTCGCTCATATGACGACGTGCATGCGTGTGTATGTGTATGTGCGGCTGCTTGTACTAGCCCAGACTGAAGCTGGTTTTATAGTGCTAGCCCACTGAGATACCATGCCGCAGTGAAGCATGAATACCCCACTCAGACACATTATACTGACTCCGAGCCGACTAGTCCTAGTTGTACCCATTAATGCCGAGCGCCAGGCTGGGACCAACAAGTACCATATTTTAACGTCTTTTGGTATGACGCGGTCGGGGATCGAACCCTCGACCTTCCACCCTCCCGGCGGACGCTCTAACCACTACACCACGGAGGCGGTCGTTGATCACGGGATTATTTACAGAGTGCCACCATATAGCTGGAATATTGCCAGGGGCGTAGCTACCATAATAATTAAGCCCGGGCTTACACATGATTTCTGCTAAATAGGCTGGGCAAGCCCTCAATACTATGTATCTAAATATGTAGCTTTGCAACCTATCGGGCATACGCGAAAAAATGACTTGCTATGCGCCTGATTGCTGAGTGCGGCGTTAAACAACCAACCAAACCAAGCTTGTAGTAGACCCAGACCCGGCGGTGTGCAGGAAACATCAGTATATCTACTACGATATGATAACACATGACAGATAACAGCTGTCTTCTGTACACGTACGCCCTACATTCTTGAAATTAATATTAATACATTCAGAAATGTTGGGCAACCCGGCACAAGGCAAACGTCAAGATGAAAGTAAAACAACATGATGACTCCTTTGGTGATATATGTAACAGTTTGATGATTATTGAACACGAAGTGACAAATCGCAAAATGCACCTTTTACTTTCCAGTGCTGGAATAGCGCTTGTCCTGTTCACTTCATTAGCAGGTCGTACTATAGAACATTACACCCTAGACGTGTTCCACAACGCAGTCTTGGTTCTACGACAGACGTATGTTGGGCTGGGATTTAGGATAGGATAGGATAGGCTTTGTGGAACCGAGCCCTGTAACTTGGAAACTTGAAGCCATCAGTAGAGACCTACCTGTTGCTGCAACCAGACTTGAACCCAGAACGGCTGCACATAGTGCAGGAAGCACCGCCCCCAAGATCATGCTGAAGAACATCGGTGTTCTACGTAAATGAGGATGTAAAAAACATTATCACTTGCTGAAAGTGGCCGCCAGGGTTATCTTCATCATTCATTATGCGACATTGACCTGTTGCTGATAGCTAGTATCAGGTGTGTATGTGTCGATCTGCTTCACAAACTGACACGGACAAGATGTCTACTTGCTTGATATATATGTATGTGCAGTACAAGAGAACGCGTTGTTTTATTGCGACAGTTAGGTGACCAACGTTGGCTTCAGTTTCAGAATAGGGTCAAATATCTCAATTTTTGGTAGTCCGAGTTTTGACTTAAGTTAGAGGTTTTACTAAAATTTGAGAAAGCGCAGGAAAATGCGTATCCCAGATTGAACTGAAATCAATATTAAACTCAAACATAGTAGACAATTTGAGTTTGGTGGATATATTACTTAAGTTGTTTAAGCTTTATTATTTTAAAAATGCAGCTGAGTTAAGAATTCGGCTGTTTCAAATTGTCAAACTCAGTTTGACATTCGAGTAAAAACTTAAGTTTGTTTCGAGAAATCAGGGCCAGAAGATTTTCACAAGCAGCTCGAAATGACGAGTGGACCCGAGACCACACTTGTGAGTGAGTGAGTGAATGCGTGAGTATGGTTTTGCGCCTCATTTAGCAATATTCCAGAAATGTCAACGGGGACACCAGTAATGGGCTTCACATATTGTACCCATGTGGGGATTCGAACCCGGGTCTTCGGCGTGACCAGAGAATGAATTTATTACGTGGCTCCTCTCCGCCCCTCCACAACTGTAAATCCAGCCAGTACCACTCCCGCTTACATGGGCACCTTGAAAATACAGTAGCATGTCTGGGTACGATGGTCCACAATCTCAGGTCTCCGAGCCTGACCACCGCTCCATTTGGACGCGTCTTGTGACAACCATCGCCTCAAGGGCGACTGGGGATCCAGATGACACCGTCTTGTTATTTGACATCAAGAATCTTCAGCTATGACGTGATTTAGTGTGACGTCATTCCGACACTACGTCACAATGATATCTAAATGACGTCATTAATGCCGCCAGGCTGATGCCCCTGTAATGATATTTGGTTTTGAAGTGTGAAAGACTGAGATTTCTGAGTTTGAGAAAAGTCATATTTTCACTACAGTGACAGAAATTTGACATGGTCACTGCAGTAAAAATATCCCTCGTAAACTATGGCTTCACAAAGTTTTCTGTCCAACATCTCGTCACACAACAGAATAAATAGTATGACTCACAGTCCCTGAATGAGATTATTTTCCCTCCTGCCCAGCCCTCCCTGCCCTAGATGAAGCTGCCTATCCTAGATTCCCTCAGCCTCTGAATCTTCCTTCCCACTGGGGTTCCTTTTCAATTTAAAACAAATTGTTTATTTCTATCAAAATTATATATATTCAGAGACTAGGCGTTAGTCTACACAAATGGCAATGCAAACATGTGCATTACACCAAAAGCATTTTTTTGAGCATCGACTGACCTACCCAGCGAAGACAGCTAGCACCGATCAGCTGATCGCGGAGTCATTCAGTGCAGCGGCACTGAGCGCGTGAGTGAGTGATCTTAGTTTTACGCCGCACTCAGCAATATTCCAGCCATATGGCGGTGGTCTGTAAATAATCGAGTCTGGACCAGACAATCCAGTGATCAACAGCATGAGCATCGTTCTGCGCAAGTGGGAACCGATGACATGTGGCAACCAAGCCAGCGAGCCTGACCACCCGATCCCGTTAGTCGCCTCTTACGATAAGCATGGGTTAATGAAAATCAATGTGTTAGGAACATAAATTTCTTGGGGCCTTTAAGTGTTTCAATCATGGCTTGGAACGAGCTTGTACTTCTCATGAAATGTAACAGACAAAACCAACCTTGTGAAAAATATTGTTAATGCAAAAAAGTGTTCCAGAATTGTTTGTGTTCGATTATGAGAAAACATGATCGATTGCTTGGTCGTTTAGTCACTGCGACCAATCTTCGATTATTTCAATTAATCGGACCACCACTATTGAGCACCCGTGTATATTTTTGCAATGATAGGTTATCAACACGTACATAAAACTTCTCTTGGTGGCCACGATTGAAAAACATGATCCTTTGACTTTGGCATCCATTTTGATTTTATGATGATAATTGCGGACTAGGGCCCTTATTCTCGAAACGTTCTTAGCCCTAAGAATTCTTAACTTTGATCGTAGCCAATGTGTTAAGAATGGGCTTAAGAAGTTCGTAGGGCTACGAACGTTTCGAGAATAGCTAGCCAGCTTATGGCCTATGTTCTCTGAGATATGAGGTCATTAGTACCTATATGATAGATGAATGACGTCAACGTATCTCATTAGACCTGTTACACGTGGTGTGGGTACATGTGTGTGACACCGTGAAGATCCGGGTTAGAATTGATCTTCAGCAACCCATGCTTGTCGTAAGAGGTGACTAACGGGATCGGGTGGTCAGGCTCGCTGACTTGGTTGCCACAGGTCGTATACCAATTGCTTAGGGTGTTGATCACTGGATTGTCTGGTCCAGACTCGATTATTTACAAACTGCCATCATAATAGTTGTAATATTGCTGAGTGTGGCGTCAAACAACAAAACAAAACAACAAAAACAATTTATATGTGCTTTTGGGGATGTCATTGAACTTGATCGTCCCATCCATTCAGTACAAGTAAAGGTTGCTGGGCTCCCAGTGCAGCCAAATGACTATAATTAGTGTATAAAATAGTTCTGAAATGTGGCCTGTCCAAGGATTGGCTGTCGAGAAGGTGACCAGTCCTGAACAAACACAGCCAGCCCCCAAAACTAAAACAATAAAAAAAAAAAACATATTGAAACGAAAACGAGAAAGAACATGATTGCTAAGACAAAGTTCAAACCTAGTTAAGTATATTTTCTTCAAATATTTCCCCGGAGGGCCTTACTTATTTAGTAGACCGTCCTTCACAGAAATATACCAGAAATGGGCCTTACATACTGTACCCATGTGGGAACTGAACCCAGGCTATATTTATACACTGCTATAATGAGTATACAAAGTTTACAAAGAGTAGATACCTTTCACAAATTTGTATTCAGATTACCATGGGATCTATTAGTGAGTGAGAGAATGTCTAAAACAGGATACCTGGTGTATCCTGGAATCATCAGTGTGGGGGGAAATATAGGCATTTACAGTGAAATCAGTTGGAATCAAGTCAGGGCATGGTAAACTAGTGGTTAACAGAATGAGCAACTATCAACTTATCCACGTTTGAACACACACAATCAGCATAGTCACAGCTTGTGATCATCCAATACATAGACTGATTGTTCAATAAGTGGGGAAAATTATACCTTTTTATGCCAAAGAACATCCAATGCATCAATGTCATGAGGCCATCAGTGGGTTAGTGAGTAGCAACTGTCCACCAATGGCATCATGGCCGGGACACCAGAAATGGGCGTTACATACTGTACCTATGTGGGTACTGAACCCAGGTTTTCAGCATGAAATGCTTTAACCAATGGGCTACCCTCCATCTAGCCCCTGAGGGCCTTAGGGATAGCACATCTAAAAATGTGAACATATTGTTGTACACTCCAGTGGAAGAGAAACCAATTGCAGATTACATCCCATTCTAGGTCCATGATTGGCTAATACATGATGATGACCTAAGGTCAGATTGTGACAATTACTCTCCCGATGTTACTCATGCATCAGCAAAATTCACCCAAGTTTGTGTCAAAACTTTGGCATTGTTGAATGTTCTCTGATGTTATGAAGTTTGCATTCATTACCATTGCCTTGATAAATCAGATATCAGATATGGTGGAAACATTTTTGTCAGAGGTCACACTAAGTATGGGTAGTTAGCATAATATCGTGAGTGAGTGAGTTTAGTTTTACACCACACTCAGCAATATTCCAGCTACATGGTGGTGGTCTGTAAATAATCGAGTCTGGATCAGACAATCCAGTGATCGACAGCATGAGCATCGATCTGCGTAATTGGGACCCGCTGACATGTGTCAACCAAGTCCGATCCCGTTAGTCGCCTCTTACGACAAGCATAGTCACCTTTTGTGGCAAGCATGGGTTGCTGAAGACCTATTCTACCCCGGATCTTCACTGGTCTTTAGCATAATATCAGTAATCACGGTTGGTTTACGTAACAATGTAGTACTGTGATCCGAGAACAATACATGCAATGGAGTTTAGAGTGTGTGAGAAACTGTTTACTGCACTCATGGCCGTCATAAGCCTTTTACCTTACAACGCATTTCATAGTGTATCTAACCACAGAGTGTCAAATAAGTTTCTCTTGCAATAAATATTTTGTAAAAATAAAACAACATGTCTGTATGTCAATGACGATATAAGTTTATTACACTACAAAGAAATGGCTGTGTAATACAAATTTACTCTCTGCACACATCTGTCACCTTAACATTGAACATTGGCACACCTTAGGACTAGCACTCAAAGATGGACACCACCAACTCTACTACACAACAATATTTGTTGTACTTTGGAACTATTATCGATGCTCTGCCACACAGTCTGCTGCATTAGATTAGAATGCATACTGTGTTTAAAATCCTAAACAGAAACAATTTACAATAAGTGAGTTGAGATTAGCACTGCTTTGAAAAGTATTTCAGTTATCAGTTGATATGGGGAAATGCCCAGAATGTTGAAGTTTGCCACTTCAGTGAAACCTACGAGCCACATTCCAGCAATATCGCGGTGGGGGACACCAGAAATGGGCTTCACACATTGTACCCATGTGGGGAATCGAACCCGGGTCTTCAGTTTGATGAGTGGACGCTTTAACCATTAGGCTACCCCACAAGTAGGAGTGAGGATTGAACCCCTGACTATAGGTTTCTCACACCGATTCACAGTGTTTCAGCTAGAAGTCACAAACAATTTGGCACAGCCTGAAAATGACATGTCTTAAATCATCTTACTTTAATATTCATTTAATATTAATGAAGCAGGTTTTTGCAGCTGTTGTCAATATACAGGCACTATTCCAGAAATGGTCTTTGCAGATTGGGACCATAGGAGCAAACCCTGGTCTGGTGTCAAACCACTATTACAGCCCTCCTTCCTATATTCCATATCCATCTTCTGGTCGTTAATTCTCTGTATCTTTCTGTCCTTCCTATATTCCATATCCATCTTCTGGTCGTTAATTCTCTGTATCTTTCTGTCCTTCCTATATTCCATATCCATCTTCTGGTCGTTAATTCTCTGTATCTTTCTGTCCTTCCTATATTCCATATCCATCTTCTGGTCGTTAATTGTCTGTACCTCTCTGTCCATGATGACATCTTCCATACACACGCATACATTACGCATACATTACGCATACATTAACTACTACTGTTATGATTCTTCCACATCCTTCTTCTGGAACTTGTACTTTCCTCTCAGTTCTTTCTTCAGCGGTACCCATCCAGGGCAGGGTACCTGTCCGGGTATCTCACATATACACTGCCTTGAGGAACTCATGCCGAAGTTGGCCGGGTTGGACGTCTTTGCTTTAGCCAGAGCTTCAGCTCTCAGGGTGTCCCTGGAATAAGAGGGACACGCATAAGACACATTTGATTAAGAATTAAGAATATTTGTTAGCATTTAAGGAGATGTTAATGTAAAACATCGTGAGTGAGTGAGTATGGATTTATGCCACTTCTACTACAAGTTCTAGCAATATTCCAATATATATCACAGCCGACACCAGAAATGGCCTTCATGCATTGTATCTGGAAACTGAACACGGGTCTTCGGCATGACGATCGAATGCTTTAACACTAGGCTACCCCACACACCTTAAACTGAGTTTATCATGTCAATCCATATAGCGAAATCACAAAAAGTGTGCAAATGCTTTCTCATGTATATTTCAATTACAGCAAAAACTATTAAAGTTATTTTTATAAAAAATACTTCAACAATGATAACTTCACCAACTGTTCTTTCATCATTCATGAAATAAAGTAGACAGCATTACGAAATTGTTCAGCACAGTAATGCAACTCAAGGTTCACCTATTCTATTACCAACCAATCTAAAAACACCAGTCCATTAGTAGGCATGGTGTATTTTGTCGGTTTATGGAAAATTTGATTGATAATGAAATAAATGCTACAGTTAGTTGCAATCAATTTTAAGGATAAATATTTAATTACTCTATACACATTTTGTTTTTGTTTGTTTTTGTTTAACGCAGCACTAACCCGTACACCCAGCTTGTTTGTGAGGTCTGGTGTCTGGGTGTAATATTGAGTGAGTTACAATTTATTGTCACATCAGCAATATTTCAGCCATATTGTGACTAAAACAGGCAACATGTTAACAATATGGGGATAATATTAGAGTATAAAATCTGTCGACAAAGGACAATAAAAAAAATAGATTATCGTAATCTGAGATATTAATACTAGCATTTAACTTAAGAATTATATGACTATTTGGGCAAAAAAATATAAAAAACGGTCTACAGATCGCCAACACCTGAAGGCTGATCACCATACTTCGGACAATGGGGATTTACAGTACTCTTGCTACCTGCATGGACCCTAGCTGGATTTACACCATCCCTTCAGCCATTGGAAATTGTTTTCAAATTTGGCTAAAGATTAAAAGGAAACATATTCATGGGGTAATAAGCCACAAAGCCAATATGTTTGTTTATATGTTTGTTAGTACTGGTTCCTGGTATGGTGTGATAACCCCTAAACTCTATACTGGGCTGACCGGTGAAGATCCTGGTCAGAATTGATCTTCATCAACCCTTGTTTGTCCATTCTCTTCCCACAGAGGTTACTTGTCACATCTTCCTACGAACCTATCTTCTAATACGGCCCTTTCATGGTACGAGTGTTCAGGATTCGTGATTGGTTGCAATCAGATTTAGTTGTGCAATCAGCGACGTTGTTTCAAAAGTGATCATTGGCAAGGCCTCAGATTTTCTGTATGCTTAGGGAGAAATAGAACCTCTTCTCCTGGGCAATGCACAAACGTTTCTTCTAGACAGAACTCAGTCACGTAATGGCGGATCAATGGCGTCTCCATCGCCCTCGTTGTCAACGGACAAGCTAGCCATTAATGTCTTGTGTGTCACATCAACACAAGTCCCCAGCAGAGGAGGGATATTTGTGGCCCCACATTTGCTTGTTTTAATCAAGTTGGATCTAAGTCAATGTTACACGCATTCTGATTTGACAGAAAGGGAGATAATTCGTGTTGCGATTTTTTGCCGCCAGAGGTTTTTACGAGAACCGGCAAATGGGGCCGTATTAGAACAGAGGTTCGTAGGAAGATATGACAAGTAACCTCTGTGGGAAGAGAATGATGTTTGTCATAAGAGGCGATTAACAAGCTCACTGACTTGGATGACACATGTCATCATGTCCCATTTGCGTAGATCAATGCTTATGCTGTTAATCACTGGATTGTTTGGTCCAGACTCAATTATTTACAGATCGCCGCCATATAGTTGGACTATTGCTGAGTGCGGCATAAAACTAAATTCACTCACTCACTATACTGGGCTGACATCACTAATGGAACAAGTACATATAGTTTCACCCCCTGTAGTGAATTAATTTCATCAAGATATTTACAGCAGTCAACAAATAACAGCCCACAACTTAAGCTCACATGGCTCTCAGTCAGGTGAGCTAACGATAAATTCCCAAAAGTCAACTTATATAAATTATTCTCATAGTTGATTGTCAGTAGAAAGAAAATAGAGCAACTCTTTACGATGATTTGCAGAGAATGTGTTTGACATGATCATGAATGTCATCCTTATCTTGACTGTCTATGTCGACCAGTACCTTCCTCCCACCATCTGAAACATCCAGCATCATTTAGTGAACCTGTATTGTGAAAAAACACATCACTTAATGGCACAAACGCTCAGCTCAAAGAGATACTATTAAGAAAAGTTACATGGTTACATGGTTTCGAAAGATGTTTCTACCCATGAAGGTCTGGGTTAGAATGAGCCTTCAGTAACCCATGCTTGTTGTAAGAGGAGACTAATGGGATCGGGTGGTCGGGCTCGCTGGCTTGGTTGACATATGTCATCGGTTCCCAATTGTGCAGATCGATTCTCATTCTGTCGATCACTGGATTGTCTGGTCCAGACTTGATTATTTACAGACCGCCGCCATATAGCTGGAATATTGCTGAGTGAGGAGTAAAACTCACTCACTCACTAAAAGATGTTTCTAGATAAAAGGGACGGTGGGGTAGCCCAGCGGTTAAGGCATTCGCCCTTCACGCCAAAGACACGGGTTTGATTCCCCACACGTGTGAAGCCTATTTCTGGTGTCCCCCTCCATAATACTAGATTTTGTACTTTACCGAGAAACTGAAATCCCAAATATAACATGTTTTACATTTGACCACTTTCTAAATGGCATTAAGTATTCATAGCTGTCGGCACCATGCCAATTTACACTTATCAGAGGGGTAGACAAAGTCTGTGATCTAGACTACCAGTTGTCGGACTTCCATATTTTTGTGATAGCCATGGTGGCCGAGTGGGTTAGATACCTGACATTGTGTGCTCGCTCTGAGGGTGTGTGTTCGAATCCCTGATGGGACTCAACCCAACAAAAGTGCTAGAATCAGTACTTTACTGAGAATGTGTAATCCTAAATATAACATGTTACAATATTCTCTTGGTTGGTCAAAAACAGTTGTCCAGTTTTCACAAGTGGTAGTTGGATAGTAATGCAGATAAGTATTTACATAGCAGTTTACATAGGGTAATAATGTAACGCCAGAGTATTCCTACTTTGTGGTCTGTAGGTGACTGACAGGAGACTAACTTATTGTTAACCACAAACCCTCTACCATACTTGATGGATAAAACACAGTGAGTTGGGGTTAACAGAGCATTGAACTGTGTTCCAGTTACATCATGGCATATTAGCTTAATGTGGGAAGAAAAGCATGTAGTGATGCAGGCTTTAAGTGTTTGTCTACAACTTGAAATCCATAAACGCGGATATGGTGCTGACAAGCCTAGACTGACTGAGTTTGGTTTTACGCCGCTTTTAGCAATATTCCAGCAACATCACGGCGGGGGACACCAGAAATGGGCTTCACACATTGTGCCCATGTGGGGATTCGAACCCAGGTCTTCGGCGTGACGAGCCAACGCTTTAACCATTAGGCTACCCCACCGCCTCCCGACAAGCCTAGAGACATAAGTGCCCAAAGTATGTTTCCATGGATTTGCTACCCGTGAAGATCCGGGTTAGAATTGGTCTTCAGCAACCGATGCTTGTCGTAGGAGGTGGCCGACTGGATCAGGTGGTCAGTTTTCGCTGACTTGACTGACACATGGCATTGAATCCCAATTTGTGTAGATTGATGTTCACGCTGTTGAACATTGGGTTGTCTGGTCTAGACCGATTATTTACAGACTGCCGCCATATAGCTGGATTAATGCTGAGTGTGGCGTTAAACACCAACCAAACCAATCCAATCCACGGATTTGCAAAGGTTTCTAAAGTGACCAAGGGAGGTAACTCTTCACAGCTTGATGTGGGAGGATATAGATAAATATAAACAATTACAACTATAAATCTCTCAGCTTGATAAGATAACACAAATGCACATACAAAGTCACTGTATATGCCTGTACTAACGGTGAGCAATACAAGTTCCATGCCACACATCAGGAGACGTCACTTACTGAGATAGAACTGCAGGAAGGGTGATGGTGTCATGTTCTTGAATGTCTGTATCTGGACAGAAGGGTTCTTGTACTGGATCTGGGCAAGATGCCAGAACACGAAGTCACTGTGAAAAAAACTACAGTCTTTAATATACAAACAAAATACATCTGAAAATTCTCCCAGTTTCCATTACTTGGAATAGTGCCCAACAGGTCACCTGGATATATAGTTGGAAATGTCAACAAACAATTTCAGAGGAAAATATCCTCTGGCTTCCCTGTATCAGACATTAAAAGACACTTAAATAGCTACAATAAATTCATTTCAGAGAATAATTATGTCCAATGATTTCTTTGACTACCATTGAGAGATTAAGATTTCCAGTTGGTCTATCAGGTCCAACCACAGTTCAAAAACTCCCTACTTATCAGGTTTTCTAACATCACACAAGATTCCACTTCTAAATGCCCTTCAAAGATTTGATCACACAAGATGATCATAACAGGCAAGGCATAACTTGAAACTAAATGGATTCTTGAAGACAGTGTGATGTTCTGGTTGCATCCCAGTATCCTTGAATATCCAGTGACGTCTCTTTTCAGCATCATGCTATAGTGACAAATCAAATATCATCTATTGTCATGATTGAGACAAGCACCAATATAGGTAGCACTTGACATCCTGTGCAAAGTTAGCGAGACAGTCAGTTATGGCACTTCCGAAACTGTTGCACGCGGACCCATGGTAGTAATCATAATAAAATTTAGATACTGGACAATTAAGGATGGTCTATTTTTTCATATGGTTTAACATTGACATATCTTTGCTTAAACTATGGATAACTTGATATATATGTGATAATTTGAAAGTATGCTGCACCTGAAAAGATGTCAACACTTCATTTAATGGTATTACTGCAACAACACTGAATTAGAAATCATAATTACACTTCAGAGACTCAAAGTATTCATGTTCATCTGTCCAGCGTACCCTTTCTTCAATACACCAGACACATTTACTGTCCAAAGTCAGTTGGTCGTTGGATGGTTTGTTGTTTAACGCCACACTCAGCAATATTCCAGCAATAATGTAAATATTCCAGTCTGGACCAGACAATACAGTGATCAACAACATGAGCATCGATCTACACAATTGGGATATGATTACACACTGATGACATGTGTCAGCCAAGTCAGCGAGCCTGACCACCCAATCCTGTTAGTCTCCTACAACAAGCATCGGTTGCTGAAGACCAATTCTAACCCGGATCTTCACGAGTATTAATACAACAAGAAAAAGTGGATGTATACAGGTCTAATACTCCCTCCTTACTATGCGCCTTTGCTTGCTTTCTGTCCTGTGTTGTAATTAACCGTCATAATCTGCACTGTGTCTTTGAACACAAGCTGCCCACGCTGAAGATACTGCAGTGTTCGCCGAACAGGCGCAGCTCCTTTCATAAACGGCATGGCTTGTGTTGTTTGTTCAGAGCTGAAAATTCATCCAGGATTTGTGAATTATAACATCATAAAATAACACAGAAATTACAACTTATTTCTTCCGTCTTTGGAAAGATTTCCATCCATATCGCTCCTAAATTTCATTATGCAAGGCTCTAACCTAACCCTAATTTGACCCTACCCAGTATTTCATGGCTTCTAGTCACATTCATATTACCTGAATATACATATATCTTTTTCCTCGTAGTTAATATTTGGGGGGGATACGAAGTCTTACCCACTATTGAACATGTAGTCATATCTCAAGTTCAACAGCATTTTTTTTATTGACAACAATTAAAAGTAAGTGTTCTGAAACTTGACGATTTCATTTAATATAACCATATCTAATCAACACGTTACGTGATAAACAACCATGAAATAAGGTATATGCTCAGCAACCCAGGGTGTCATTACACGGCGACCAGTCCAAGGTAACAGACACCTAATTTCGTGAGATATAGTTTCATACCATGCTTGGAAAACCGGAAGTCAACTTGTGCCGTAACTCAGTTTAATGTTTTGCGACACTTTTAGAATATACGAAATGATTTGCAAATAGCGTAATTGATACAGACGTATTACTTCAAGCAGCATATTTATAATACGCATGATTTCAATGAAATGTAATTGCTTTGCAAGATATTAATGTCGTTACAACGATCCGGTGTTTCATTCGTATGCTTCCCATGATATATAGCTACATAATAACTGTGAAATTTTCTCAAATAATCCCAATTTACTAAACTATCAATCCTCCTATCATTCCACGTGATAGTACTCCATTTGAATAAGACATGCTCAGTGCAGTTCATTAAATGTGATTTTTTTTATATTGACATGATACAAAATAGGTGAATATTTTACACAAATACCAATATGGCTGAAATACTGCCGATGGAACGTTATTTTACAACTAGTCCAGCTGGTGAATTTCCATTGGGTCATTTTGTAAATATATCACTCTCTCCGACTTGTTAAGTTATAATACACATCTAAATCATGCAAGATTATGGCCTGATAAAACTGTTCATCACATTAACAGCTTAATGATGAAACCCGTGTCATGCCGACAATATCTTATCCTCATCTATTTTTGTAATCTGCTTAGTTGCTTAGTTTCTACATTCAAATTTCGGGCTAGTGAATTATTTTGTGGGTTAGTAACTTTCTGGCTAGCAAATTTTGGAAATTATTTCGCCAAAATTTGGAAACTATTTCGTACAGTGTCTCCTTCTACATAACTGACTAAGTTTACTCAACTGCAGACCCACAGACCCGCAGACCCGTGAAGATCCGGGTTAGAATCGGTCTCCAGCAACCCATGCTTGTCGTAAGAGGCGACTGACGGGATTGGGTGGTCAGACTCGCTGACTTGGTTGACACATGTCATCGTATCCCAATTGCGTAGATCGGTGCCCATGCATGCTGTTGATCACTGGATTGTCTGGTCCAGAATCGATTATTTACAGACCGCCGCTATGTAGCTGGAATATGCTGAGTGCGGCGTAAAACTAAACTCGCTAAAACAAACAAATGTCAATCAGAACCAATGAATGGTCATTCAACTGTCAATACATACATCTTGGGTGCAGGCAATGTTTTTGTGAAAGTAATTCTCTTCTATTGATGAGCTCTTGAAACAGTATTTAGACAAAAAGGACCCAACTGATTGTCCAGTAAAATCATCCAATGCTAAAATTCGTAATATGTATATCAACATTGTCATCTCACATAAGTAGAAGTGAGTGAGTTTAGTTTTACGCCGCGTTTAGCAATATTCCAGCAATATCACGGCGGGGGACCATATTGTTACAATTACCTTATTACTATAGACGCTGGAGAATTAAATTTAGAACTTCAAACCACAGGTTGCCCATTGAAACAGGACGTTGGTACGGCATCGAACGATGTAATAAAACCTGCCAACTTCTGTCATCTGTCTGTGATGAACTTCACTTTCTATTATACTGTCCAGCACTCAATGCCCTCAGACATCAATTTCTTCCCCAATATTTCTGTAAGCATCCTACTCTTAAAAAAATTGTTTATCTAATGAAATGTGACTATTCACCACTTAACTCTAAAATTGCCAAATTTATCAAAACTGGACTTTGCTCAATGTTTTAATATGTGCCATATTGCTGTATGTTCTCTGTGTCACCATATGTCATTTTTTAGAATAAAATGTCTGTTCTGTTCTGTGGGACACAAGAAATGGGCCTCACACAATGGGCACTTGAAGGGAATCGAACCCGGCTCTTTGGAGTGACGGGTGAACGCTTAAACCAGTAGACTACCCCACCACCCCTATATAAGCAGAAAGCACCACACAGTGTCAGATTTAGTTCTTGAAACAAAAATCAAACCCATACAAATATCGATCGACACACTGCAGGATGACTGAGTGAGTGAGTTTAGCTTTACGCCGCACTCAGCAATATTACAGCCATATGGCGGCGGACTGTAAATAATCGAGACTGGACCAGACAATCCCGTGATCAACAGCATGAGCATCGATCTAAGCAATTGGGATACGATGACATGTGTCAACCAAATCAGCGAGCCTGACCACCCGATCCCGTTAGCCGCCTCTTACGACAAGCATGGGTTACTGAAGGTTCATTCTAACCCGGACCTTCACGGGTATTTTGGAATATGAAACAGCTTCTAAATTAAAAGTGAAGACCTGTTCTTTGATGAATTATACTATCAACAATACTCATTTTACTTTTCACCGTAGATATAGATGTTTATCAGTTCAGAAGATAGGGACTGATTCCTACGCTATACTGGATGTGGACGATATGAAAACATGCATTGGCTATCGTCGAAATTCACAGATTTCAACTTGAATTTGTAAAATGTGCAGAATGTGGGTATATATTTATTATTGATATACTGTAGATGTTTCAGCACTGTCTTTGGAGACTATTTGCTCTGCATGTGTTCTGTTTGTGAGAATACACACTTGTTCGGTAAAACAGCCGTGTGGATGTATTTGGTGTGGTATACTCAAGTACGAAAGAAACCCTACACAGTGAAAAATACTATCTGCCGAAAATCGGGACTTGTGTTAGAGACTTTAGCAAGTTTGTCTCTTTAACAATGAATAATTACTATTGTGTTATGAACATAGAACCATGACTAATGATTATTAAAAGAAAATAACTATAATTCCTATTCTGCGAATAGACCATCATTTGAATATGAGCATATGGAATATTTCATGAAGTGTGAAGTACGATCATTAAGGGATGTTGAATGTGGGATGTGGGATGAACATATGAAGCGATGGCACTTGCAAATATGGAAATACATACTACAATAGATTTAAGATATACAGTTCACTCTACCACCATGTATAATGTAATTAAGCACACTTTTGCACTGAACTATGATAGTTAAAGTACGAGTACGTTATTGAACGAGTTAATGATTTGGTATCAAACGACCTGATACCAAATCATTAACTCATTTAATAAAAATGTTATTGCACGGAAGGTCGTTTAGTATTCTCTATATCTATCACAGGTCATATGTATTACCGCTTCGCTAAAAATGAACAACTAGTGTTAACAGGAGCAATTCGCCCTCTTCGATATATGTCAATCATCCCTGGAAATAAATTAACAAACTACTACTACTACTACTACTACTACTACTACTACTACTACTACTACTACTACTACTACTACTACTGAAACACTTCTAACCCCCAAAGTACTTAAACTTGTATTAACTAACAAAGTGTAACCCCAAACATAACATACTACGCGTCACCACTTAATTACAAAAATGAATTTATATTATTTGTTTTCACGATAGGCAATTGACATTTTAACCTATCTGAAGCTGATGAGACCAACACAAAACATGTGGATGGTACAAGGGTTTGTAATCATTCGACATCAGCATGATCACTGCCTATATATACTCATGCCAATAATGGTTGTCACCCCTCCCCACCCAAACCCACACACACCTCCACACCTCACCTCACACACCCTCTCCAATTAAAAATTGAAGGGGTGACAACCAATATTGGCATGAGTATATATATAACGTTTGGAAAAGTGACTGACAGTATAGTCTTTGATAGGTCATACATTAAAAACAATGTGAGTCAAAGCATTGTAAAAATACCCCGAACGGTACATAGACCAAGAATTTAAATCATTAATACAAACAAGGTACAAGATCCCAATATGTTTCTGTTGTGCTGGAGAGAATTTGTGTAGTGTGTGGTCGCGCGTTCAGATTGCCAACGGATCCGAAGATATATTGACATTATCAACAACTGAACTATATTACGTTATTAGTATTCATTATTATGCATGAATTATGTCACCGTGGATAACTGGCTTGGTTATTCATGCCGCTTAAAGCTATCTGCGCAATTGCATCTAATTACAGTGTGACGCAATAAGGAGCACACGCTGGCTAGTATAATGTTAGAGGGAGCAATTTGCGTTAACACCGGTTACAGCAGACGACGGACGGGTCCATGTGAGAGAGAAAATGGTCAACCAAGACAATACAAAGATCGGTGTTGGCGCGGTTGCGGTGTTCGGTACTGCACTTTTGGCTTACTTGTTGTACAAACAGTGGAAGAAGAGAAAAGATGGTATATTTATTTCTACGTGAAGTCGTTTTCATACTGTGTAGAATTGTTAACCTGAATGTTATGGTCTCTGATAGCCGAGGTGCTGTCAAGGTTAAAATAGGCGACGGTCGGTTAGTACCAGCCCGAGGTCGTTGACCAACTACAAAATACATCACTGGTTTTGTGAATATTTTTTCAACACGGAAGTTAAATGTGTTTGGCCAGCGATTAAACGTCGCTTACGATCTCAAACAGGTCTCGTATTACAGCTGTATTATACTTCAAGGCGAGACCCCATCTTTAGATCATAGATGCATGCATATGATGGACAATGAAAGTTTTGATGCCAGCAAATGAACAATTGGCAGACTGATGCAGGTTTTTACCTTGACCAACAAAATTAGGAGTCTACAAGACCCCACTTACTAATTTCTAGGCTCCTTACAAGAGTGTCCTGTAAAGTGATGAAATGATGTAGCAGACTTAATGAATGATTATTTCTATTACATATATGATATACCAGTACATATATTCTATGTTTATTTCTTGTCATGAATTTTGAACAGTGTAAATTATTTGGGACACAGTATATGTATATTTCGGTGTCCATTCTGTACATTTGTGTGTATTGGATGCACATTTCAGCGTTGTGTAAACTCTGCTGATGTCGTCTTTTCCATTTTCGAAACTGTATTACCACACACCACTAATTGTGTTCTTGTGTATGAATATTTTGTTCTGAAGAAGCCCGAGTCACATATGATATCAGATATAGGTAAATCATTATGTGTGAAATGTTTTGGAACAGACATTATATATTCGTTCAACATAAACATATGATAAACATATAAACCCTTTGTTCCTCTTTTTATTTCAAAGTGGTGAAGTACATACTGGCTAGCGAACAGTTATAGCCAATGCATCAGTATCACACATGCGCAGTTCCGGTCAATTACAATTCTGGAACATTTTTCCCCACGGTATATGACAACAATATAAAGGACAGCAACAGAAAATTCTTCACAGTAAGTAACATGAGAGAAAAATTAAAGGTAAAGTTATGAACCCTATAAACATTTTTTAACTTAGTCGGGGGGATGTCCCACTACCTATATAATAACAAGTTCATATTCGCATGTCATTAATTGTTTCATTCCCTGTCAATCTACTGTAAAAGAAACACTCAAATAGTCACACAATCAATTATTCGAGGTTACTGTATGATATAGATATATATTATTTCACGAATGGCATGAGAAATTCTAAATGGCAATAACTGCCACAAAACATCATCGGCAGCAGTGAATGGGCTGAACACATCTGTGAATAGCTAATTAAGTATCATAATTAATTCTGTTTCATTAATTTAATGAACAGCGAAGTAATTTTGTAAATACCGCTAAAATATTGCGATAACTGTTCGGTAGCCAGTACATGAATTCAGAATGTTGACTGATTTGGTGGGATATTTTATTTAGCCTCATTATTGTCAATTTTTGTACTAACTTATCAGTTAGAAGTTTCTGCATGAAGGTTAGACAAGAGATGTTATTTTGATATTTGGATGCAATGGTCACAGAAGTGGAGGTATTGTGGATCAAGTATTTACCTCGGAATGTAAATGTTGAGTTTGAAATTGATTGCTTGGTATGTATGTGACAAATTGATATCACAAAAATAATGATAAGAAAATGAGAGAAAAAAAACTTACTTAGGACTTAAGATACGCTTACTTGTGACAGAGGGTAAAAATGACCAGATAGCAATCATTGGAGTGGTATTAGCTCTAGAACTATTGTAAGTCTGTGTTTAACCATGGTTACCAACATCTTGGTGATGAGATCACTTGGTAGGTTATGTCCCTGGTACCGGTCATTTATAGCTATCATGATATATATAAATATATATGTCCGTTTCCTATTACATGCTTTTTAAAAAATAGGATGGGTGTGTAAATTTTATCTTCTTGTTTTCACTCTTCTTTTTTTTTTGTTTTTAGTAGCACCAGGTGGGCACCTGAGAATGTCTTCAGGGAGACCATATCATGTTGTTACAATGCCTTATGATCAAACTGAAAGATTTTTATATCAAATTATTATTCATGTTATATATTTGCAGGTTTTGTCAGTGAGAGCCGATTATGCAATCCATTTTAGCCCTACGTTCACTGAAAAACATACTTGATTTGGATGAAAATGAAAGTTGAAATGCACTCCCGTCATGATTTTGACTTGGTTAAAAAAAGGTTTAGGGGATTAAGATAGGGTCGGTCGGGTAACCGGAAACTGATATTTTTTTATTTTTTGGGGGAGGGGCTTTACACCTATAGGACAGTGACGTGATGTTACATGGTCAGTGAACACTGGTAGAAGTGATCCTGTGTGTTGTTGATGTGATAATCTACAAATACAGTAAAGAGCAGGAAAAATGAATTGATGTCATGATTTGATGATCAAATAAAAATGTGCAACTTTCCATTCATAACTTCAAGTCTTCTCATGATGACATAGTACTAGCCATTATGGAAATCCATACACCCTTTGCTAAATATTGATCGAATAATCGGTCAATCGATTGAATTCACTTGCATGTGCAAGTATCAATGGTTTCAGGAGACGAATCAATATTCATAAAAGATGAAGCTTCAAATTAAACTTTAGAAAGTGTGTTTCTGATTTCTTTTGTCACAGATATTGTCAGTATTGGAATTATGGGTTGTTCTTAAGATAACGTTGGCTTTTAAAAGTGAAGGACATATTTATAGTTGTTCATGAAGTTAACAATTGTTCTCATGCATCCCAAAACCCACAGGAAAAAGAATCGAAACACAGATGTGCACCAGGAAATAACCTTGATTGTCTTGATCGTAGTATTGATCAGTGCCTCTTTCATTTTCACAAGTTATGACTTTGTCTCTGTCTCTGTTATAAATTTTTAGGTTGGATTTACTATTACAATTAATTATTGTTCAGTTACTGAGCAAGTGTTATCAATCTGCATGTTTGGGAAGGTTATTAGTGATGTATTCTTACCTGCAAAGCATATTATTTTCCATATGTGGAAGCCATGGTGGCTGAGTGGGTTAGGCAGTTGACTTTGTGTGCTGGCGATTAGGTGCCTGACTCTGAGGGTTTGGGTTCGAATCCCGGATGGGACTCAACCCAACAACCGTACAAGAATCTGTACTTCACCAAGAAAGTGTAATCCCAAATATGACATTTTATTTTCCCTTTTCGTCTAGCCCTACTGCAATGCTAAAGTCCAAAATGAATCAAGCCCATCTCACCTTTGGTCTTTTTCAATTTAAATGGAGTTTTTGTTTCCATCATGACTATATGTTTAAAGGGATTAAGTCTTCCCTCTGGACTGCTACTAACTGATTATGATTAAACTTAGTGTTTTTATTTAAACTGTAAAGTAGGTTAGTTGGTTGTTGTTTAACGCCGCACTCAGCAGTATTCCAGCCATATGGTGGCGGTCTGTAAATAATCAAATCTGGACCAGACAATCCCATGATCAAAATCATGAGCATTGATCTATGCAATTGGGATACGATGACATGTGTCAACCAAGTCAGCAAGTCTGACCACCCAATCCTGTTAGACCAATTGTAAACTGTGAAGAGTTGAAAGAGTTCCGTCGATTAAAAAGCAAAAGGGGTAACTATCCCAAGTCCAGGGAATGCCCTCCACCCTGTAAAGATATATTTCCATATGACTGTTTGGGAAATAAAAACAATTTTGTCAGATGTGTTTATGAATGGAGGAAGACTGCTGGAGGGATAAGCTGTATATTTGTGTTCTCGAGTTATTCCAGTGGTTTATTCTCCCATAGTTTGTGCCCAACTGAAAGTTCAGGTCACTGGAAATGCCAGCACAGTGCATAGAATCCATGCACATTTTTGTGATTGTTATCAACACAGACCTCCCTTGTGGTATTTGTTCAGTAATCATTGTCTGAGTTGTTAAAGTATCTTCAAAAGATGGTTTTGTCCAGAATTACATTAAAAGTAATAACGATTGAATTACTCCAGATTTAGATAGACTGCTCGTGAAGTTCTATATTTTAAGTCAGACCATGACATCAAAGTATCAGTGACTCATACTGAAAATGTTTAAAAAAAACTTAAATGAGCAATTGAAGTTTGGTGTTATTTATCATAGTGAATATGCAATTATCAAGCTAGGCAGGATAGTAGACAATACTCTTATGTGTTTAATTTGACACTATTGTGGTCACTCCGGTCATTGCCATGATAATCAACACTGTCTAAATGGCCAAAATATCTTAGAATATTTTTTGTTATTGTTTCACTGAATGTAATGAATAATACATCAACTGTGGGCTTGTTATTGTATTTGTTGCCCAATATTTTTGTGATATGTATCATATTTGCCCCATGGTGGAATCGTTAGAGTCCTATATTTGATGGAAGCTCAAGTCTCTCAGATCTGCAAAACATGCCACTTTCACCTTCGTTCCATCAGTAACACCCGTCCCTATCTCTCAGTGGATGCTACCCATGCCTTGGTCAGAGCCCTCATAACCTCAAGATTGGATTATTGCAACAGTGTATTGTTTGGCATTCCTCAGAAACTCTGTGACAGACTCCAGAAAATCCAAAACACTTCTGCCCGCATCATTTATCGGCACCCTAAACACCGCAAATCAAGCCAGTACTGAAGGACCTCACTGGTTGCCCATCAAAGCTAGGATCGAGCATAAGATACTGTGTCTGACCTACAAAGCCAAGCATGGTCTTGCTCCCCAGTACTTGTCTAACATGTTGTCATCATACTCCAGTTCACGCAATCTTCGTTCCAACAGCCAGGATTTGCTCACTGTGCCCAGCTTCAGACTGAAAACGTTTGGACAGCACTCTTTCACCTATGCAGCCCCTACTCTCTGGAACTCTCTTCCTTATGACCTCAAAACTATTGACTATTTCGACTTGTTCAAGTCCAAACTTAAAACCTACTTCTTCCAGCAGTATCTACCTTAATGTGCTCTAGTATTATTTCTGTATATATGTACATACTTGACTCTGTAGCGCCTTGAGCATGTCTGTCGAGGTGGATTGGGCGCACACATAAATATGCATTATTATTATCATATTATTATTATATTTTATATTAACTGAATACACTGAATGTGCTTTGTCTTTGAATAGGTCTGTGGAAACTCAAACTGATGGAATCTTGTTGGTTGAAATTTTAACTGGTATAAAAGTTAACCTGTAAAGTTATAACCCATGTGCTTTTATTGTGCTGATACATGATAACATAAAAGACAAATCCTCCATATGTTTACTACAAGCCCTGAGTTTGAGGACACCTGTAAGAATACCATTTGGCTAACAGGCTAGTGTTACTTTTATCTGATTAGTGATTTTGCAGTATACAGATGGCATTTTAATGATTTAATCGACTTTTGGTGGACCATTCTTTTGTTACCTCTACAAAAATTTGAAATAAATGTTTATTTCATTTCAAATGATATAAGTTAGAAAATATATGGATCAAAGTATACACGCTCCAACCCAAACAGGGCCCCTGTAGTTATTGGAATGCTAAGATGATGGAGCCAGCTTTGGCTTGTTGCTGGGTGATGCTGGCACTTAGGCTCACAGCCAGATGGTGGAAGCTAAATGCTGACATATTACACACTGTGCACATGTGCTTGTGATGTTAGTGTTGGTTAAACACAGTAGATGGGAAGTAAGTAGGCTGATACAACCCCCTGTGGATATAAGTTAGACTAAAACTTAGTCTCTGAAAATATATGACTTTAGAAACTTGCAACTACATTTAATTTGAAAAGGAGCCCCAGCAGAGATTCAGAACCTGTTGAAAGTCTAGACTTGCTTCATTTAGGGCACTAGTCAGTGTTACAGTGTGGAATGGGGAGGAAGATATACTGTTCAGGGACTGCATGACAGATTAGTGTGTTTTGTTGGAGCTTCATCGAGATCGCATATTTACAGGGAAACTAGGCCCTGTGGTGATTCTGGGGTAATAGTACAGTTTCCATTACCCTACACATGTCATCAGAGATGTGTGAATGGATTTATGAGGGAGATTCATTTTCTTGGTCAAAGTCATCATAGCCTGATAGCATGGAGCTCATCATTGGTTTGACCCTGTTGACTAGTCCAGCCTTGTCTATTTATAGGCTGTTGTGATATCACTAGAAAAATAGTGCCTTCAATATAAGAAAGAAATCAACAAGCAAATGTTTTTAATCCCTCGCTCACCACTTTCCTTGTCTGATATTTTACATTGTATGTGTCAATCAGTATTGTAGTTAATGATCCTCAAAGTTACTCAGAGGTAATTTCAAAGTGTCACTGAGCGATTTTCCAGTCAGTAAAGATTTGTGTAATTGCAATATAGGAGTATATTTAAGAAACAATTTTTTGTTGAATTAAGAAAAGCAGCAACCTTCTAATAATTTATTATTAAAGTCTTACAGGAAAAATATATTTTGACGTATTCTGACATACATCTGTACTTTTAAGTTAAGTACATGTTTATATCATTAAAATTCAAGCATCAATTTCATTATGCAGAAAATATATTTGAAAACAACATATATATTTTTCGTAGTTTAGTTGATATGCACATCAAGTACCTAACGCATGCATGGTTGATGAAGTGTAAGCAGGCTTGGTGTTTATTACCAGGTGGAAGGCCACTAGTGTGCACTGCAGGAAAGTAATAGTACGTAATACTAGATTGCTCTGAGGCCAGCCTGGGACAGAGGCTGCAGGGCGTGATGTTGATACAACAGAAACACATAATGTTCTCACAAACATACATGTGTCTGATGAAATAGAGCAACCATGTATCTCTGCCTGATATTACTGGAAAAAAGGTTATTTGTGTGTTTGGGTATACAGCTGAGAAACTGGCATTTGTCCTTTAGGCCAGACCAATTTTATTTCTTGTATTACAGATTTTTGTACTCAGAAAACCTAAAGGCAGGAGGGGAAAAAATAAAAAATAAAAATCACCAGTCAAAGTAATGTTCCTTTTAAATACTAAAAGTATTTTATTTTTGGCAATAATCGAAGTGTATATGGGGCAAAAAATACAATCAAAACATTTCTCTTTGTAAGTTTACATTTTTGGCAAATAAAAAAACAAGAGGATTTTATTTTTATAGCGAGTGAAATTAATATTTTTTTTCTTGAAAAAATATGACCGGCGGATCTGTAAAACAAGAAATAAAATTGGTCTGGCCTTATGTGGAGCCTAAATCCTCAATGGTTTGATGTATATGCATAGGGCTACAAATGAAACCATCATCTTTGACAATATTCTAGTAAACATCATGTAACATATTATATTTGGGATTAAACCTTCTCAGTAAAGTACAGATTCTAGAACTTTTGTTGGGTTGAGTCTTATCTGGGCTTCAAACCCACACCCTCAGTCAGGCACCAAATCGCCAGCACACAAAGTCACTTGCCTAACCCGCTCAGCCACCACTGCTTCCACAGCTTCCAGTAATAATAGATATCATTCTGACATCCCTCCCCTACTCTCCTGTGGCACAAATAACTGCAGTAATGCTGATGAAGTGAAGCAGTGAAGTTCTTACCAAGTATTTAGATGGGATTCAAACCATCTGAGGATGCCATTTTGAAAAAGCTAGTAATGGCTTTAATTTAGCTGACATATCAAGCTGTGTATTCTAGTGGTGTGACGATTCATCGATACGCATCGATACATTGACCCATGGGCTGCTGATACAGTGAATCGATACAAAGTTTTACATTGTCGTATATCCCAATATGATACTTCAAATGAGCAACGGTACATCGATGATGAACTTTGAATATTGCCGAATCTAGATATCTGTCAAGAAAAAAGACTTACTTTTGTTTGATGATTAAAATATTTGCTCATTTATTTTCCCTTCATGAGTAAAAGTTTTCTTGGAAATTCTTGCGTCAAGAACTGTGTCAGACATAGTGCTCACATGTTATTATCATTCACAAAGTCTGTGTATAAACTGAATTATTTCGTTTCCGTATGAACATTGAAAAACGCTGGTGGAATTTGATGAAATACTTTAAAATGGTTTTGTTTTGATATTCAGGTGTTTTGTAGTTGGTGTTAGAATTAAATAGTTTAGTACCGTGATGCGTATCATATCATCACCCTTATATCGGGATTCCTATCGTATCGCAGCTTCAGTGCACGATACTTTGGCAATATATCGTCAAGACTAAAATTTTAGCATCGTGATGTATCATATCGCAGGTTGTATGCCAATACCAGCACCAGTGTATTCATATCCAGTTGAGTTGCACTATTTTCATGTTAACTTAGTACATGCTTAAGTCACTCTAATATATTTTCAGAAGAATCAAATGGTGGAAATGGTGACACAGTTGGAGGTGATTATCCAGTGGTTCGTAAGAGGACATCCAATAGGGGGCGTAATGGAAGATTTGTATCTGACCCTGGGAGGATGTTTTCCTCCACAGACCGAGTCATGCCCGTTCCCTCGGGAGCCACTGACAACATGGAGGGCATCTTCAAGAGACATTCAACAGGGGCCAGGATATCTCAGATTCCAAAACCAGCTAACAGTGGCTCCAAAGTAAATGAGGCAAAAAGACAAGTCAAGAGTTCAGATAGGGAAAATGTTGTATCACCCAAACTCACGGAGCCAGACATTATCCCATCCATCGAGAAACAAACCCAGAAAGAACCACCAAAACAGGAAGTAAAAGATGAACGTTATGAAGATGCCAGGGAAAAGAAGAAAAACAGTAAAAGGAAAGCTGAAGAACAAGCAGGTTCAGTGTCGGATGTTTCAACACCTGAATTGTCATCATCACCATCAAAAAGTAAAAAAATACCAGTCAAGATGCCAGCTGCTTCTACCAAAGAACCTACACAGCAACCAGTTAAACCTACTGTGGTGGAGGCCAGCCAGGGCACAGAACAGTCATTACCATCTCAGTCTGGAGAGGCTGGAGCCAACGAGGGAGGAGCAGGTGAAGCTATGGCTGTACCAGTTGATCCTCAACTGGAAGATCAATCTGTGATGTTGACCGGGGACTCCGAAGGCAGTGATATTGGAGCAGGTGATACCTTAGCAGAGGACTATCAGTTTGTGAGCAAGACTGGGATTACACTATCTCCATCTTCATCAGCTGATTCTTCTCCTGCCAAGTCGCCACTTAAAACTGATAAGAAACAAGACAATGTTAGTGAAAAAGCTGAGGCAAAACCTACAGAAGCTTCCAGTCAAGCGTCTGAAAAGTCAAAGAGTTCAGAATCTACCAGTACCAAGCAGACATCATCAGAGTCTATGGAGGGTGAACTTGATTCTGAGATGATCACCAGAGCCATTCTACAAGTACAGAAGACACCCAGCACTGTGGACAAGAAGGTCATCAAGGTTCTGGTGGATCTCCTGAAAGTCCCGGAGCAGAAGTTGCTGCTGACTGGACTGGAATCAATTGTTAGATGTGCAGCTTTCTCAGCTAATCAGGTAATTTCCAAGATTCATTTAACAATTTTTAGAATGTACTTTCAGGGTTTTACCTTGACTCACAAACATGGGGGTGCCGAGGACCCCCAATTATTTGTTTTAGGGGTTCTTGCAGGCAATATGAGGGTCCTGTAAAGTAACAGTGTAGAGAACTGTACGTTTTGATAATTTCTTTAGAACCTGGAATGAATTATTGATCATGTTGACTGGTGGATAAAATGATGCACATGACTGTTCTGAAAGAAACAACCAAACACTTAGCAAAGTCATAGATGTGTTGTCGGCACAATGAATAATATTGTGCGTCTCGCAGTAGGGAGTGATTTTTTTTCTGCATCCATTCCTTACATTTATGCGTACTGGCCGCACATTTACGCGTCAAGTAAAACCCTGTTCTTTGGTTCTGGTGTATTCATGGAATGTTTATTCTACAATGATTTTAGAAGATTCTCAGTTTTGATTGGTCAGTCAGAGGTTTCAGATCACTATAACCACCTCTGATTTAAACAACTGATTTCATGGCTGCATCTCAACAGGAGCTCAAATATATAGATACTTCCTCAATCATTCTTGATAGGCATTTTAACTTACAGATAATAAAAGGTTACAAACGGTAAGTTGGGACTATAGACAACTAGTGGTGTTCCAATTAATTGAAATAATCGAAGATTGGTCGCAGTGGCCAAACGACCAAGCAATCGATCACATTTTCTCATAATCGAACACAAACGATTTTGGAACCGCTGTAATAGAGTTTGAAATACTTGATGATGGAACATATCTAGGACGTTGTCAGGGCCGGAAAACGTGTTTAATTCTTAGAAAACTCACTTCACTTTCTGAAAAGTCATGACTGAATATTTCTTGAAGAATCTGGGAAGTTTATGTTACACTGGAACTGAATCATTTTACACTGGATGTGAAATTTGCAAATGTAATTTGTGCAGTTTCTAAAAAACAAAACAAAGAACAACAGAGAACCAAATGGTTTTTTCTTTATACGTATCTGCAACTACAACCTGAATAGGAAAATCTAAAAAATAACGCTAACCAAGTTTTTCGATGATTGGTCGTTGGTATTGAACCAATCATCAATTATGAGATTTCAACCAATTCCCAACACTATACACAACTATGATTATAATGAAATAGGACTGCTTTTAGTTCGTCTTAACCATAGTGCATTACACCCATTTCGACTAAAATATACAGCAAGTGGCCAGGACTGGTTTGCTATATCCGTAGTTTAACATACCACTTTTTCAAATTTCGGGCTAAAAATACTAAAGAAATGGATGAAGTAGCTATGGAACCAACTTGTATTCAATGAATCGAACCATATTCATTGTCACTAGAATTGTATATTGATGTTGTTGTTGTTTCTAAAAAGAGTGTGTTTTACTTGAATTTATCTCCTATTTATCAAAGCCACATATGCAAAATATCCAAGCCATGCAAGATAATAGTCAAAACTTGTATTCCTGATTTGACATTAATGTTGTCACTGATCATTGTCATTAAAAATTTATACTCTTAACATGGTCAAATCATGTAAAAAATATATTTTCTTGTTATATGACTGAATATAATGAATAAAACATCAGTGGGTGACTTGTGGTGGTCTTGAAAATATTTGTATTTGTTGCCCTGTACTTGTGATATGTATTATATTCACCTCAAAGCAGCCATAGTAAAAATCATGTTTGTTCATATACTGCGTTTTCATGTGTTTTCATTGTAGAGGCAAGCCTTGATATAAACTCATGGTATGCATTCAAAGATGCCAAATAAGTTACCATTGATAGATAAATTGGGAAAAAATGGTTATTGGGTTTATTGTATGATATATCTTTTGAAGTTTTTATTTTGATAAACATACTAAATCCAGAAGTATTTACACATTGCATTCAACCTGTTCAGTACAATGATATAAAGCTACTAAACATTAAAGCCTTCCTCGTTCAGTGGTGATCTTCCTGATGTCATGGTAGTCAGTGAAATACAGTCCCCTCAACAGAGTTATTGTAACTAATAATGTTTTAATTTGAAGTTTATATGGCTTTTCCATTGGACAAATGCTGATCACATAGCCATAAATCTGACGTTCTTAACGATACATTTTGCCATTCATACGTTTATCAAGAGAGTGCATTGTTGAAGTGACGTAAAATCTGACATACAACTTTCACATTCCTTGGGAAACCCCTGGGTATAACAAGCATCAATAAATACAGAAGTGTTGTTTCAGATAACTTGGACTCTTTAATTTTGAACTTAATGTGTTAGCATAAATAGGATTAAGTCAGATAGATTGATCCCTGTTTCTGAAAAATATTTTATGATTGACCGTGGGTAAGCTACAAAGTTCATAGTTTGGCCCTCACTCTGTGAAGGTTCATGCTCCAAGGAACTCACACAAAGTGAAATCAGTTGTTAAATAACAAATGCGATACTCTGTTAGAGATGTTGAAATGTCCTAACTATTTGTTTGTTAGAAACAGCAGCACCTGATGGTTGATGATATATGATAATAGAAAACTGTCACCCAACCCACAGTCACACCTAAAACATAAATACCCATGTGTGAAGAAGACTGGCAATTGTTTCATGATTTTCATCGGAGATTATTTGTGTTGGAAGTAAATAAACAGAAGTATAACATCAAGCAGAAATAAAGTTTCGAAATGAATGTTAGCGTTGCAAATTACAAAATTGTGTGTTTCTGTAGTGACATTATTGATCATCTTCACTTCATATATCTACTTTGCTTTCTGATCTGCCAAAACTATTTCAGCTTACCACAGGCTAATACAGTCAGCTCTCGTTAATCCGACACTCATTAATCCGACAATCACGTTAATCCGACAAAAAAATAGGGAACCATTTAAAACAGTGATAATTACTCTCGTTAATCCGACATTCTCGCATTCCGACTCCGACACACCAATCTAGCAACCGATCATTGTAAATACATTGTAAAAACATTCGTTAATCCGACAATCAACACAGCCGGTCGGATGATCCGACCGTATACAAACATCACACATGCCTTACTGGCTGCTTAACACCCACGTCAGTGAACATCACACTTGTTAATTAGGAACACAGGATAATTAATTGAGGCGATTTAATCAAGAAATAACAGTAGAGCGAGCTGTATAAAATGTTTACAACCGACATGAGTTTTCATCACAAGACACTTTTGCTGAGCAGAAGTTTGATGTGAAGATTGGACGATCAACCGTATCTGACATCCTGAAGCAGTCTGCTTAGTGGTTGAGCGTCTCTACGACTGATTCCAATGCTTCAAGCTATCTGAGGCCAAAACATCGTTGAACACTTTGCAAACATTTCTGACACACCACTTAGACGTGTTTGATGTTAATGACCATCAAAGACTTTTTCAAGTTATAAATTATATATGTTATGATACACGCCTGATTGTACATTAGACGTCCACATGTTATTATGGAATTAGTTGTATGGAAACTGTAACATATTCAACATCCGGGTCATAATGGCAGCTGATATGCGGTAAAAACAAACCTGAGTTTTGTGCCAATGTGGTCATGAAATAGATATGAAACTGTTCGCTTATGTGATTATATATGTATGTTATGCCATCTATGAATGTTAAAATGAAAACAAGTATGTATTGTTAGTATTTCTTATTTCTGTGAATATTTTTACATACGATGAAGATAACTAGATCTACCATTTCTGATATGCAACAGCAACATCATGACGTAATCATTGACATTTAGTAAACATTGATATTTTCACACAAAGTTACATTAATCCGATATGTGTTACTACTGTTTCATTTATATCCGACATTTTCGTTAATCCGACATATATCTACTAAATCTGCACTGAACCACAAGTGTCGGATTAATCTTGACTTAAGAAAATTGTGAAAAATTTCTTCTTCAGTAGTTTTTTTTTACATGCTTATAAATCATTGATATCAGATCTTATTGTTAATCTCCTTAAATGTCAATGTTAGAAAGAGTTATTACGTATACCTACAGATTTCCAAAGATGTTTTATCAGTAAAGACAGTGAACTTGGTTGATTCAGTACATGTTAACAGTTAGGTGTGAAAACAGTGATGAGATGACAACATATTTTTATAAATAACATAAACATTTTCACCCCATCTATGAATACCATGTGTCAACTGAATTCAATATGTCAGCTGCATTATTGAAACAGACTGTCTATGGTATTGAAATGTACTAAGAATCTGTAATGTGAGTTTTCTTAGGTTGGTAATTGCTATACATGGCGACAATATGAATGAATGGTATTCTTTGTTGATTTACCCAAGTGTCCACTGCGTCAACAACACTCAGCCTTATATTTGTCAGATAAACAGTAAATGAACCTCCTACATTTCTAAATGACTGGTTCGAAAAATAACTTTGTTGGTTTATCATCCGGACGTCAAACAGGGAGCATGTCAAACTTCAAATGTTTAGCAGGTAAGACGGAGCCCATGAAATCCAATATTAGGATCAATTTGATGTTGAAGGATTCAGGTGAATAAATTAGCAAAAGAGGCTGATTGTGTGTGAATATCTGGGATACAGTGTAAGAGGTGTTTTGCAATTACATTGTGTAATCGTATCGATTTGTCAACTTCACCTTGCAAAGCAGTTTTATATTTTCTTAGCAAACAGAAATGCTTGATGTTAGAACTAGTGATAGGCGTGTGTCGACCCCAGTGTACCGGAGTGTTCTGATGCAGGGCTTGGATATTTTGTTAAAAAAATATGTCACCTTATCATTGCTTATGGAAAAATGCCATAATGTTTTATGACCTGAACAAATATTTGAAGAGGAATGATTGTGCTCTGGAAAGAACTGAAATTTCTTTATTGACGACTCGGTACATGTCGATGTGGGCTTGAAAAATGAGGTTTTTGAATGCTTCCAATTCCTTTCTTCAGATTCAGGGTAAACTGGGTCACTGTGAGCATTCAATGTCTTACTAGTTAAAATATTTGTGATATTCTTTTTACAAATTTAATTAACTGTTTTGCATTACCCACATTAATTGTGCATGTAATTGAATCACCTTATAATTGTGGTCAATAAGTTTCAACTTCTATTTTCACATTTCTACGCAACTGATCTGCTACAGGGGTGCCATCTGTCTAATGGTAAAAGTTGTAGTCTACACTGAAGTGTCGTTGGTTGGTTGGTTGTTGTTTAACGCCGCACTCAGCAATATTCCAGCTATATGGTAGCAGTCTGTAAATAATCAAGTCTGGACCAGTGATCCAGTGATCAACATCATGAGCATCGATCTGCACAGTTGGGAACCGATGACCTGTATCAACCCAGTCAGCGAGCCTGACCACCCGATCCCGTTAGTCACCTCTTATGACAAGCATGGGTTGCTGAAGGCCGATTCTAACCTGTATCTTTATGGGTACCACACGGAAGTGTCACATAACCTTCATCAAATTTAAAAGTCTCAGACTTGTTCATGTCATGTCGTGAGTGATAGGGTTGTGTATTGGCAGATACGCACCACGGCAGAGGTGTACGGTCTTAGAATCATTTATCTGAAAAAAGTATTGTTTTATTGTTTATTGACCTGTTTACACAAGACTAGCAATGTTGTGGTGCATATATGAAACGAAACACAGGATTACTGATACTCCATCCATTAAATACCATTCAGTACTCTAAATGTACTCTTAAGGTTTTTCAGTACTCCTATATTGAAAAAATAAGGAGTACGTACTCCTGATGTTGAAAAATTATCTGGAGCCCTGATTTATAAATGTGTTTATTTTCTGTTGTTATTAGCATATGATGCAATGATAATCCAGTGATGTGATAAATATGCATAAATGTAGATAAAACAAATATTTCTGTATATATTAATTATTATAAAAATGTAATTTCATAACGAGCTTTGCCCAAGGTGGTACGATTCCTTTCTGTAGACTTTTGAGTCTCGCATACAGTGTTTGCCCTTAACCCTGAAAAGATGCAGGCTTTAAGGACCAAGAACCATAAAAAAAGTTGTGGTTCCTGATCAGAATGTGTAGGCCCTATAATTTAATTTGGAAATAATACTCTTAGTTATTGAGGATGAAAAAGCTGTCCACCTTAAGGACCTGCAGAAAACAAAAGCTATGGGACCGAGTGGTTTTCAGTCGGCGTCAGGCCTAAAGAACGATGTTACATTCGAACACTGCTCTCATACACCAGATGCTCCAAATTCTCTCTCTGGAGTTTGAGACAACAGGGATCGACAGTATATACCTGTAAATGTTTCAAAGATCCATTTCCCTCTACCATGAATACAAAAACTATATTGTAACCTTAATGGGTCAGGAATTGGCCCCTTGACATGTTCTGAGTGTAAAATGTGTCCTGACGTCACGTAAAGTTAAACAAGTGTAGCTTTTCCTCCTGGTGCATCAGGAACATCACTCTTTACGTGTACAACTTACAAAAAGCAGCGGTTGTCCTTGTCTCACCGGATTGTCATCCTCAAGGATCATTAACACAGACATGTGATCACACAACCAGTGTCCTTCTCAATTGTGTAAGTTTGATTTTGAGACAGCCCCCAATCATGAAGTCAAATATTTTCAGAAAGCCCTGCGGGAGAACAGGTGCCCTGAAGAATTGTTGCGACTTCTCCAGGTGCATAGTAAAGCTGTCGTTGGTGGGACTGCGATCACTGAGAGCATTCTGGTGGCCACTAACAACGCTATCATGAACCTATCAATGGATGTGGCCAATCAAGCGAAGTTAGAGGTGAGATTCATGCAATTGGTGGTTATGAGTAATACTTTTTTGAGTTAATTATGTTTTATGAAATGGTAGATATGGAAATATCTTTGTGCTTTGTCTATAACTGTGGCTCAATGATGTATTATACATAGCAATACTTGTACCAGGCTATAACCATTGTATCATACTAGATTAAGTGGCATTCATACAAAACTATATGATCGCACAATATAATGATATTATAAGGACATCCATGTTATTTATATTATTTGTTGAGATATTTATTTCTGATGGTATGTACAATAGTTCCTAAGCCATTGTTAGTTTGACTAACACAAATTTTATTCATAGACTTTCATATGAGCGTTAACTTTCAAAGGTGAAACGTCCCATTAATATGACAGGTGTCAAATTTCAATGTGTGTTGATCTTTGTTAAGATATTTGTCATCATGATCATAACAAAATGCATAATTTGGCTAGATAATTTGGATGGATAATTCTGGTTATGACTCAGGTTTTGATGTTTCAGCTGAAATTTATTTTTAATAACTCATATTTGACATTTTGATCACAGGAGTGTCTAAGGGACCATGACGTAAAAATTCATGTGTGAATTATTTTTGAAAATGTCAGCTACATATTTTAAAGAACATTAGAGAACATTAGCTCTGATAGAGGTGGAGATAAGCAACAAACGTGTCTCCTGTCCTTTGATGTGTGTCTGTCTTGCTGAGTGGTGTGAGCTTCTTCCTCAACTGTAAATATTATCTTCGGGATAACAACAGGATGCTAGACGGTGGATAGAAAAAAATAGGAAACAAACGTAGAGTACCGGTACACTTAACTTGTACTTAGTAAACTTGTCGGTTGTGGGAATTGTAGGTTCTGTAGGTGATGTCTGCTTGATCATATGTTTAGAAAGATTTATCATAAGTTGTGAAACAGTCGTATATCAGCTGTTTGTGGTACTTTCATAAGTGATTTCAAGGGCTCTGACAGGTGAGATCTTTTAATTATTAGATTGTTTTCACAAATATTTGCTGCATAGGAGCAGTTTTCCTTATGGTATAATCTGCATACAAAGAGTGAGTGAGTGTGTTTGTTTTGGTCATTGTTAGCAATATTCCAGCAATATCACGTCTGGGGACACCAGAAATGGTGCAGGATAGAGAGGAAATGTCTCAAGTCTGTATGAATTTGTCCGAGTTGTGTTGTAAAAACAGTGGTATACACACTCTGTTGACTCTCTCCTTAGGTGGATGGTGCAGTATGTGTGTCCATTATATTTACAGATAAGAAAAAAAGAACATGAAAAATATTTGACCTCTCCACACAAGATGTATGGTGTACTGTTTTTGTAATATTTGCTTGTTCATAATTGTGAAGCAGTTTTCTTTTAATAATTGTTTGCTCTCATATTATTATGATCAACATTTGTTGGTGTATTAGGTATTTTTAAAGTGTTTTTTTGCTCTGATGGAGGAGCGAAGAATTTATTGCTAGCTCCGTATTTTAATTGTGAGGTAGCTTTCAATGAGTGAGTGAATGATTGCTTGTTCCCATCTTGCATGGGTAGGATGGTCATGCTATCAGCCATTGGTTTATATGATCAGGCCTGATTACCAGGTGGATTCTCGTTGATGCAGTGGGTGGAATGGTCATGCTATCAGCCATTGGTTTATATGATCAGGCCTGATTACCAGGTGGATTCTCGTTGATGAAGTGGGTAGGATGGTCATGCTGTCAGCCATTGGTTTATACGATCAGGCCTGATTACCAGGTGGATTCTCGTTGATGCAGTAGGTGGGCTGGTCATGCAATCAGCCATTGATTTATATGATCAGGCCTGATTACCAGGTGGATTCTGGGCAATGCAATGGGAAGGATATGAAAAAAGGCAGATTAAGTGGTATAACTAATTGTATGCAGGCACCAAATGTCTCCATAATGAAGGGCCATGTGAATTTTCATTTTTCTTCCCCAGGCCAATGACCCAAGCCCCTTTGCAATCTCAGTGAGTGAGTGATGGGTACCAGTTTGATTTTTGGCTGCATTTAGCAGTATTCTAACAATGTCACTTTAAGGGATCCAGAAATTGTAATTCTCCTCATATTTTACCAATATTGGGAGGAGAAACTGGGTCTCCAATGTGACTATCAAACGCCTTAGCCACAAGGCTATCCCGCTGTTTCCTTGTGATCTGAAGAATTCATGGTATTGGTGTAATAATGACAAGAAATTTGTGAATGAATAGGACATCAGCTGAAAATCTGAAGATTTTAGAGAGGGATGTTAGGCAAATTATGGGATTAATGTCAGTGATGTGATAGAGGTAGTATTCTTGAATTATGTATAGATAACAACACAGGGGTTCGAATAACTGTTTGGACAATAATTTTTGAAAATAAAAATCTAGACTTTTGCAATCGTAGATTGTTTTTATATGTAATAATTAAGAAATATTTCAAATTTGAACGAAATCGGTGAAGAAATGAATATTTTAGAAAATTCATTACATAAAATACACAAGGGGTGACACTCGCAATGCTAAAAACCTGATCGAAAACCGGACAGCCCGAATATTTTATGTGCGGTTCAATGAAACCTTACGTTTTTCACAAAATATTGTTTTGAACTTGTAGTTATTTCTTTTACCTTTCTGCTGTGGATAGTAATAACAAATATTGCTTGATATCTGTGGTTAATACACAGTTGACTCATTCCCAACAATGTTCCAGGTGTGTATTCCGATACTCGTTGACCTGGTGATGCATGAAGGGATGTCGTCCAACGTGAAGCTATCTTCCCTACAACCACTGACCAACCTGTCCACCACGTCCACCTACCACGGCCAGTACACGCGTGCAGTACAGCAGCTGTACGATCTCCTCGATGTCGGCAACAGGGTGGTCCGAATCCAGGCAATCAAGCTGCTTGTCAACCTCTCCTGTAACTCAGAGATGGTCAAACATCTGCTTGCCGCCAAGGTAATCCAGCCATTGATTTCAGGATGTTTTACATTTGTTGAATGTTCTAGGTGTGGATTCCAACATTTCTGGCTGATTTTTATATGTGGTGTTTGAAAATTATCAGTGAAGTGAGATTGTCAGATATACACTGGTACTAACTGAACTAGGTTTCCCAATTTTCCCAGTTTTTAATGAATCCCTTAATCATCACAGGATCCTGTCATGCTTAAGAAACACATCTTCCTACAGTGAGGCCACTCGCTGACAGTGTGTCCTGATGGTTTGGTTTGTTGTTTAACTCTGCACTCAGCAATATTCCAGCCATATGGCGGCAGTCTGTAAATAATAAAGTCTGGACCAGACAGTGATCAACAACATGAGCATCAATCTACGCAATTGGGACACCAATGTGTCAACCAACACAAAGTGTTTAGGGGTTGTCAGACTTGAAACAAACCTTTGGCATCTGAAGGTGTTATGTTTGTTGTTTAACGCCGCACTCAGCAATATTCCAGCTATATAACGACGGTCTGAAAATAATAGAATCTGAACCAGACAATCCAGTGACGAACAGCAAGGGATACGATGACATGTGTAAACCAAGTCAGCGAGCCTGACCACCTGATCCCGTTAGTCGCCTCTTACGACAAACATGGGTTGCTGAAGATCAATTCTAACCCGGATCTTCACGGGTACCTGATTCTCTCCCACTAGGGATTCCAAGCAGAGTACCATATATGGTTGTAGATAAGCTGATATCTTAGATAAGCCGAGGTCCCAACTTGAAACTTAAAGTTTGTATCGAAATAACAACCTATGTACATCTTCTGATCATGATCAGTCTTTGAAAGTAGAATTTCAATAAATACTTATGGAATAGCACAGTGTAACAACTGGATTAACATATCTAGTGATAAAATATGTTCAGTGCACAGCTGGACTTATGTTTGTTGTCTAGTTTATTAATTTTACTGAAAGTTGCATTCAGTAATGCTTTTAGTATCACCAGCCTGATGTAAGACATTATTTATCTTTTTTAAGAGTATTTACCTTTGTTGGTGGCATTTCTCAAATCATTATTTTTTTAATGTTACCATCCCGTTACAACAGGAGATTCTAAGTACATTTTTTAAATTTTTGCTTTTATGGAAATGGAAATAAATGTATATAGCAACGACTTGTACTTTATGAGTGTGATGTTTTGATACATATTCTTCGAAATGAAAAAAGTTGTTATCCAGAAAGTTTGTCAAAATCTAGGACATGGTTCATGACTTTTTCCAATTAATATGTTTGTATAGGACACCTGTCTTTTAACGTTACAGTTATGGAAAGAACGCTGTGCCATTCATTGTTAATTTTTAAACACTACTTCATGATTCATTGGCAGGCACCTACATGTATGATGTCACTCCTGGAAAAGACAGCCGATCCCAACATGTCTCTGCGATTAATCACGCTGCTGGCCAATATAGTTTCAACCGCACAGAAAGAAGACGTCACATCCTCGTCCCTACCCCCTGACGACAAAGCAGCATCCCCGGAAACTATGTACTCTGCCATATTTGGTGTGAACAATCTGAGTCAGATTAGGAGCAAGGTGTACCCCCTGACGAGGCACGACTCTGAGGACATCTCCCAGCAAGCAGCTAGGCTGTATAAAAGTCTCCCCAGCTGTTGATCGATGAAAAAACGTCTGTGTGTTTAATGCACACGCCTCACTGTCTACTCAGCTGTATGTTTTGGGGAAAAGTGTGCAGTATTCACATTAAAATATGACAGTCAAAATGAAATTACGACATGCCGGTTACTGTGTTATTTCAATCATGATATCTTGGGGACATGGCACACAATAGCCATTAACAAAAGTGTGACATTGAGACTGTGTGAAAAGGTTTTCTCAAATACCAATGACACTTAAAAAAGGGATGCTTGAACATATGACTGATTTGGAAGTGATGTGGTGTAACAGTCTGAAACTTCAGTCACTAGTCTGAAGCGCATGTCAAATAAGATTTTTTTTGGTTTAGAAAGATCATTTAATTATAGGCCATACCGGTATATCAGTAAGTATATTATGACTCAAGTCTACTGAAAATATTTCGTTTTATATTAAGTTTTATATCAGTAAGTATACTATCGCTCGAGTCTACTGAAACTGTTGCCAAGGGCAAGAATTTTCACATATTTGGGGCACAGATATTAGCATTATTAATGGATATCAATATTTAGATGAGTGTGAACAGCTGATACCTTTTTGATGTAGTGTCTGTTCTCTAAAGTTTTGAACATTATATATGGTGTTTCAACAAAAGAGGATTTGTGAATGAAGTGTTCAATTTGTCTTTTGCAAATGATAGTACATTCAGGTTTCTCGTCTTTGAGAAGTGTTAACTTGAAAATAATAACTACTGTATATTGCCATGTCTATTTTTTAGTATGTAGAAACAAGGGGTTTTAAACACGGGATGAATTTTGTACTTGGAAGGGTATCATGATACCTATTTTCACAGCATTATCGCATAAATTTAGTCACACTTTGAACATTAATATTTCATATTTTTTAATTGTCCATGAAAAGATCAACATTTTTTATTCTCAAAGATTAAAAAGTTCCAATGTCCCATCTTTGTGCATGAAAAAATAATCATTTATAACTCTCATAACACCCAAAAACATGATACAATTGCAAAATGTAAACGATACATATATTACATAAACTTATTTAAACCGATACTTTCAAAACTAAATATTGATACAGTTTTGAATGTATCAATAATTGTATCGTCTTAGAAAAAGTATTGATATATCATAGCATCCCTACAACAACAGGAACCCTGTATAATCTGCTTCAGTCTGGATTGTATAGTATCCTGGGTATAACTTAGCGTTGATTTTGAAGGTAAATATAGGGGGTCATGTTATGGCTATGGTTATAACAAATAGTGATATATGGTAATATTTTAATATTTTTAGACTTTATATAATTTAGATATCATTTTATTTAGATGCCCTGTTGAAACCAATAAATCAAAAACTGTGGAAGGGGTGAAAGAAACTCCTTTGCCAGAGAATGTAGTTGTTTTGATATGTTTTAAATAGTGTGAATGTGATTACGATGTAGGGAGCATGTGCTTGCCAAGCTTGTGAACAAATGACGTTGGGAGTGAACCATATTGAGTGTGTGCATGTGATAGGAATTGTACATATACTTCTCAGTTAGTGTTGCTTGTGTTGTGGAACATAAACTGGGCTTCTCTGACCACACCTGTTGACGATATCTCTGTTTCAGTGAAGTAGATGAAGATCTGTATGGTACTTCACAAATCAGTCCATTGACTCACTAGAGATTGAGACAAACAGTGATTTGAAATGTTTTGGTAGTCAATGAAACAACTACTAGCTATAACGTGAGCTTATTTGTTCAGAGCTGTACACAAAGGCTTTTTATCATCCATGTATTCTATGAGGTTGGAAGACAAGAAGGAGAACAGAAAAAAAAATATGTGGCAGTCTCTCTCTTAAAGCCCTCTAGAATATTTGTGTTGGTTTATTTATTTTTGGTTTAACACCACACTCCGCAATATTCCAGCTATATGGCCACAGTCGGTAAATAATCGAGTCTAGACCAGACAATCAATTGAGCATGAGCATCAATCTACGCATTTGAGATATAATACGTGTCAGCGAGTCCTACCTCCCAATCCCGCTAGTCGCCTCTGGCATAAGTACAGTTTTGTTTTGGGTGAGATTTATCAAATTATTAATTATATTGTCATCTGGTTCAGTTGATACAAGCACAGCGGTCAGGGATACAAGAAACTGCTTACAAATTGCAACATTTAATGATATCTTTGAGGGGAGTCTGTCGGTATATTTATCATTCTCTTTTGATCTTCAGCATCACTGGTTCATTTGTTATAAAAACATAACTTTGTGCTACAACAAATTCCTTTGTTTTTGATACTACTTTCTCATCTGGGAACATAGTTTTTATACACAATTTTTGTCAGTAATAAGCACTGATGATTTGAAGTTGGACAGAGTTTAGAAAATTTTGAGGTCTGGTTAACTGTATGAATATCTTCTACACATCATGAAATGTTTGAAAATATTCTGATAAACTGCATGAGTCATGATAATCCATTGTTGAAATGGTTTGAATTTTGTGCTTGTGTGTGATGCAGCTGTGTTTGAAAGTACCCAATGTGTCTTAACTTGTCAAGTTGTTGGAATTTGTCATTTAAAATGGTGCTTGTGAAAGAAATGGCAAATTTTGTGATTTACCTGATGCAATTCCATGTGAAGTTAAGTCATGTGTTGGTACCCTATTTACAGTAGTATAATTTACTCAAGTTAAAGCATGGAGTGTTTAATCTCGCTACATCAAAGCCACTGATGCATTCTGGTCAAGCTTTAATCATTTTGAGTGTTCCTTTAGATAGATTACAGTGTTAATGACATCATTTTCCCATTCCTTCTGGCTTGGTATTCAGAATTACTGAACCATATTTTTATAATTTCAGGGTATAAAATATTTAAGAAATTAAGTAATAGGATGTTCTTAGTGTAGTAGTTTGAGCCATAGTGCCTAGCAGGATGACAGGTCTTCAGAGAAACAAATCCTTAATTTACCTTCAACAAACTGATAATTATCCTGTACTTTTAACTTTTATTTTATTTTATTTTTGAAAAAAAAAAATAATTAATTTTATGATGACAGTCTCATGAAAAAGGAAGTATACAGCAATAACTGAGTAAAATTTTCAGCATTTTTATAAATTTCAATATCATTTTGATTAAACAAGTTAAAACTTTGAAGTGTTAAAATTGAAGCTTCATATGGTTAACCAAGCAATAAAGGAATGACATTTGTTGGTGTCACACTAGTCTGTCAACTTATTCAAAAGTTCTCTTTCTAGTCTAGCCTTGTAAGTATGTCTCGATTTATCCTGTGTTTCTGCATAGCGATTCTCTATTTCCGGCACTGCATACTGGGCACCTGTTACTGTCAGAAAACATCATAAATCATGATCATGAAGTTCCTATAAATATACTTCAAATGTAGAAGATGTTATCATGATACTGCTAACACTGTGGCAGAAATATTATAAAACATACTTGTAGCCTGAAAGTCACACTGAAAAACTCAGGTGTTTGTTTCACTATTCTAAACTTGCTTTCACTGAGGCATGCATGGGATGTGATAGATTAGTTGAGTGTCTTGTGACTAATGGATTGATCAGTCATTTTGAAACTTATTGTGAAGGGAAAAGATACACCATAATGAAACAGTTAATGAATTCCACTATTTATAGTAAGCTTGAAATCCAATTATATTGAAAAAATAACGTGCTCACTTCTTTGGAACAGTTATATTCGATAGTTTGTGTGCAGTGAAATATTCTAATAAACCACTACACCACGGAGGCGGGTCCATAAACGCTTCAAGGAGGGGCAAGAAGTAACCCTGATCCATCAATATACAAGATAGACAAGACAGACAATATAGAAGTTGTTATCCAAAACAGGTTTCATGTCCTCATCAAGTCAGAACTCCATGTTTAACAACCTCTTGAATAACTCTCTAACCAATGACCGACTGCAGTAATTCCTGTGACTATATACTTAGTGTCTTGGCCAAGTTTGGAGTTACAGATCTGTGGACTGAAGTATTTCTATTGTATATTGCCAATACTGACCACTGTATCCATCTATGCATTAGAGTTTTGCATTTTGTTGAATAAACTATTTTGATGATGATAATACTTTTTTCAGTAGTTGGTTGGTTGGTTTGTTGTTTAACGTCGCACTCAGCAATATTGAAGCTGTATGGCGGCGGTCTGTAAATAATCAAGTCTGGACCAGACAATCCGGTGATCAACAGCATGAGGATCAATCTATGCAACTGGGATACAATGATGTGTCAACCAAGTCAGCTAGCCTGACCACCCGATCCCGTTAGTCGCCTCTTACGATAAGCATGGGTTTCTGAAGACCAATTCTAACCAGGATCTTCACGGAAGTTTTTCAGTATATTTAGTTGGTATAGTAATGCAAATGATACAAACACTGTGTTGAAGCTGAAGGACCCTAAGTAAAGTAGTTAAAGTTATCCCAGGTTCCACACAACTGAGAAATAATTTGGCATACATCTACCCACATGGTGAAAGAATAACTTTACTTGTCAAACAAACAAATGACACAATGAAATAAAGAACCCTACTTTTTATGTTTGATAACTATTGGCATGTTTTGCATTCACCACATGCTGGGAAGAATGAATATTGAAGGAGAGATTCCTTTATTGTTACTGTCTCATATGTCCATGTTGGTTAATAGATCGTGGGGGTGGGGGTGGTTGATTGATGATTTTTATGGAGAAGCATGTACAATGTGAGTGACCCTGCTAAAATGTATGTACAAAGTGACCCCCATGTCATGTACAAAATTAGTAACCCCTCCTCCCTTCCCATTTTTTTTAAGCATATTTTATTAATATTATTATGTACAAAATCCCCCAAAAAAAAAAAAAAATATATATAATATATAATAAAAATGGGTGATTCCCTTAAACACACACTTGTAAATTATGCACGGTCCCTTATATCCGTTAACCAGTACACACACTGGATTGGTAAACAAGTCTCGCGACTTATATACTCAACAAAAAAGGAAACTTCTCACTTGGAGAAATGAATTATGTTGAAAATGGGTAGTACAAGGTATGGGAGAATACCATAATGGCCAGGGCTAACTTGACTCATCAGCCCATTTCAACTGTGGTGAACAAGCAAAGGTGTATGCAAGACGCTCTTTCTTGTGACGGCGTGTGTGGCGTCATGTGACCACAATTTCATGTGCCTAACCACTGACAGGTGTGTAGAATTTTGTTGGTGATCAGTAAAAAAAACACATTAAAAATCCTTGAGATATAAACAATTCCCATAAACTGTGATAGAAATACCATTATGTAGTACCATATGAGTCTGACTGCTTTAACTAAAGGCGCGTTCCCAAACTGCAATTTGTGGCATACAACACGTTGCTATCCACAATTTGTATACAACAAATTGCAACGTGGGAACGCGCCTTAAGTCAACCATATGTTTTAAACTGCCCATGTAGAGATGAACAATCTTAGTTCATGTTTACATTGTGAGGGATGCCAAAGAATTCAGCATTTAGTTTTTGAATCCTGTACAACTGCTTTCATTGGTTCATACTTAGTCTCAATTAATTTTACCGTTAATTTACGTTTAATAGATCTAGGAAGGTCAGATCCAGTCATCCACGTGGTTAATTCAGTCTTTCATCTGACAGCTTAGTCATGGTCTGAACCATACAGATGATTCTCTCTGTGATGATAATTTGGAGATTTTACGTTTGCTTCTGACGTATACACAGTTTCATTTGGCAAAAGGACTAATCCCAATTTGAAACGCATTCACAAGATAAACTTGAGACGATCACATGATACGCTCGGTGAATACACAATCCCATTAAGAAAGTGGTCAAATGTGACATGTTATATTTGGGAAGCCACGGTGGTTGAGCGGGATAGACATCTTTGTGATGGCGATTAGGTGCCAGACTCTGAAAGTGTGGGTTCGAATCCCGGATGGAACTCATCACAACGAAAGTACTAGAATCTGTACATTACTGAGAAAGTGTAATCGAAAATTTTCTATTTTGACATGCTGAACTCAACGCACTGGATAATTCTGGCTTGTTCATCCTAGTTTATTAATTTCATGAATTTAATTAATGTCCAAAAATTTATTTGTAGTTTAACGCCGCACTTAACAATGAGTTGGGATGAGATCGCCCCATCTGAGTAAATTTGGCTGGAAGTACACGCTTCTGACTGGAAAATATCTTTAGGGTCAAACGTAACTTCAACACATCAATTCAAAGGTTAACAAATGATGAATAAAAATATAATATGCAGGGGCAAAGGCTTTTCTTCACAAGAACCTTAACGGGAAGTGAGTGAGTGAGTTTGTTTTTACGCCGCTTTCAGTAATATTCCATCAATATCACGGCGGGAGACACCAGAAATGGGCTTCACTCATTGTACCCATTTGGTGAGTGAGTGAGTTTAGTTTGGCGCCGCTTTTAGGAATATTCCAGCAAATATCACGGCGGGGGAAACCAGAAATGGGCTTCACACAATGTGCCCATGTGGGGAATCGAACCTGGGTCTTCGGCGTGACGAGCGAACGCCTTAACCACTAGGCTACCCCACCGCCCCTTAAAAAGAAAGTGTACACATGAGGCTTCTGTTTGCCGTTTTCAGTTGCTTTGCCCTCCCTACAGTGAGTGAATGATATCACAAAAGAGGATTATTTTTCGATTTATGTAGAAAGTAGCAAACTTAGAATAACGGTAAGTTCAGCGATTGCTAGGTAGGTCTAGTTCAAATAAGTTCTGGATTTCTTGAAAGAAGATACAGATGGGAAGACTGTCAACTCAAGTTAAGATCTGGTTACATTGTGTGGCAACACTTCTGATACAATGTCAGGTAAAACATTTTGTGCAATGCATACGTTTTTGAAACCGCGACGTCACCTCACCACAGTGCGAACTGAGTACTTGAACCCTGTTGGCCAAACATCAGCTGGATGTTCCAATGCCTAACTGCATTCTCAACTCGTTGCTATAATTGTAATATTCATCTTCCCGTGTTTATATTTCCACAAAAATACCGCTGTATGTATCTACAGCAAACCATGTTCTCGGCAATGCAGTATACCCACAATGTAGGAGCTGTGAACGGCAGGGAATATTTCATAGCAGGAAGTGAACGATTTATAACGCGAGAGGAGAGCAGGTTTTATTTTATGTAGGTCACACTGTCCCAAAAATTCATGCTGTAAAATAGAAGACACATGTGCGTAATTCTACCAAATATCTTTCCATTCCGTTATCATACAAGCCCATGAGCCTGTAAACCATTGTCTTGCTTCGGCTGTGTTTCGGTAAAGACGCATAAATATATCAAAGTTTAAGGTATCATTGCTGTATAAACGAAAACCAAATACACCAACAGTTAGAGTTATTATTGAACTATCATTGTGTCAAGTTTGAATGCTTAGTGTTGTGCCGTTTTCGAACTGCCATCCTCGAAAGACCAACACTATCAAACTGTTAGTGAACGATTTAAGAACATCATAGTGAACGCTTTACGGTGGTTATTCAATGAAGTTTCTAGTGACAAACCTGAGCTGTACTATAATAATAATCATAATAAATGGATATTTCTTATGCGCCATAGTCCATCCAGAGCATGCTCAGACGCTACATATAAAAAGAGTCACTAGAGTTCAAGAGGAAGATATGACAATTCGTCAAAATGACCATGAGAATATTTCGCAGTTATAGGTTGTAGACTTTTTTGAAGAGGAAGGTTTTGAGTCCCGATTTGAATGCTTCTAAGGATGAAGCATTTTTTATGGGAGTAGGAAGACTGTACTGCCCAAAAGTAGTTTATTCATAGAGAAACCATATAGATACATCCGTATTTCAGTCACGTAGAGCTATATCAACTTGATAATTGTTTTTCACCATGGTGTTTTAGGCATTACTTGGTAATTATATTTCTTACGTTATACTGAGTCAAAGAAACTTCACAAAATGTAATTTGAAAAATAATGAATAATTTTTCTCTGATGATACATCTATGTATCCGAAATGGGATCCCTATCTTTCGACTCTAGAAAAACGTTAGCAAAACCACTCAAACCCATCCATTCGTCGTGCAAATGACGTTAGTGCCAAATCAGGTTTTGCACGTGCAGTCGATCACGTGATCTTCGCATCGAAGTTTTCTTCATATGCACGTGTTTGCATTGGCCTCAAGAATTGAAAAAACACTTTTAAACCACAGTTCTAACGGTACTTGAAATGCCACGATTGTCAAATGTGCAACGTGAACGTGCCGTTGGCATGTTGCAAGCGGGAAGATCAGTTATTGACGTCGCAAGAGCAATGGGATGCAGCCGTCGTACTGTGTATGACTTGCGAGGTCGTCTACAACAAACTGGCACAACTTCTGATCGCCCAAGGTCGGGTCGTCCACGTGTGACGTCACGAGCAGAAGACCGTCAAATCGTCCTACGTCACCTACGTGACAGATTTCTGCCGGCTACACGAACCAGGGCTGAGATGTTTAGAGGTCGACTGTCCTCACAGACCATTCGAAAATCGGTTGCGGGCTGCCAATCTCCATTCTCGACGTCCATATCGTGGGCCAATATTGACACCGTTTCATCAACGTCAACGTCTGCTGTGGGCCCAACGTCACCTCCGATGGACCAGAGAGACTGGAATCGAGTCGTCTTTAGCGATGAATCAGGTTTACCCTCAGATTGGCGGACGGCAGGCATAGAGTCTGGAGACGACGTCGTGAACGGTATGCCCAATGTTGTGTACAGGAAGTCGACAGATTCGGGGGCGGAAGTTGCATGGTGTGGGGTGCTTTCTGTGGGAACAACCGTTCCCGACTTCTGGTCATCCGTGGAAACCTCACAGCTGCTGCTTACCGCGACCAGGTGCTCACCCCTGAACTCGTTCCTTTCATGGCGGCTCATGGCCCAGG